AAATCTGTAAATTTATTTTATCTATTACATTCGCACTCTTGTAAACCACGGAGCAGCCACTTGGAGGTGGTTCAACAGGTGAATTATGCTGATGTTTGTTTAATATAATTGTTTGGATTTTCTTATATTGTTTAATCAATCTTTCTTTTTGTTTTTTGTGTTTTTTGATCATCTAAATTGCTGATGTTTGTTTGGATTGTTGGTTTGTGAATTTTTGAAGGAAAATTGGCCGATGTTGTTCTTGGATTTGTCGTTGTGGAGCCATATGTTGGTTGCTCGTCTGTTTGGCTGTGTTCGAACATGTCTGGATGTTGCAATCGGCGAGGCGTCAGTTGGTTGGTGGCGAGGGTTTGGGATGCTCGGCGGTGGGTGCTGCAGTGGAAGCTTAGGTTTTTTTTTTGTTGTATTTTATAGATTGGGCATTTACAGTTTGTTGGATCTTTTCGGTTGTTTGGTATGTCCTCTTTTGGGCTAGTTTACCAACCAAATATATATATATATATATAAAGGAGGAAAAAACCGAATCGGACTGAAATCAAACTGAAAAAAACCGAACCGAACAGTAATTTTGGTTTGGTTTCTGGTTTCGATCAAAAACCAAATCGAACGGAACCGAACCCACCCTTATATCTAACAAATTGAACTAGAAGTTTTAGACATGTGTATATATATATACACACACACACACACATGAGTTACAACTACAAAAACAAACAAATGAGGGGGCATTCACAAAGTTTGCTCATGTGAAGCCTCAGTACTTGGCAACACCTCAAAAGAAGGAGGACACTGGAGATTGATCATGTGATGCCCCAGTACTTAGCAAAACATCAGAAGGGGAAGGCATCAGTTGCCTTCAGAATCTAGCCACGAATCTCTGGAGATCACTTTGAATCTGACTTTCAGATTCCTGCAGTTGGTCGAGCTTTCTTTTCATACTCGTCGAGTAAATATTTGCAAGTTTGCGCAACTTTTTATTCTCGTTCTTGAGCCCTTTAATCTCTTGTCTAAGACTTGCCACCTCGGCCATTAATGTTTCAACTTGGCGAGTTCGAACAAGTAAGCGTTGGCCCATGTTGGATACAGAACCCACAAACTGAACACTGAAAGCTAAAGAGTCTTGAACGGCCAATTCATTAGACCTATTTGAAAGTATTCTTTTGTCTCTAGGAGTGAGAAAGTTCCTAACTACTACTATAGTCGTTACATCATCGCTCATCACAGAGTCTTCAACCATAAGAGGGCCATTAGAAGATAAAAAGGACGGGGGCCATATATTATTCTAACGCGGCTCGTGTGTATTTTCTCCGAGACTCAAATCTAAACAAAGGTAGGATGGGCAAGCCATTTTAAGAAATGATGAAAGAAAAGGGTTGGATAGAGTGAAATCTCGTAAATACAACAAAGATAATTTTCACAGGTGGGCAACTTTCAAAGCGTGCATTTTGAATACAATTGATACCTCTATAAAAGGTGAGTCAACACGGCCACTTATTCAAAAATCGAAGAGACACCGCTCTCCGAATTTCAAAAGCCAGATTTTCTTGAATAAAGTTTGTTAACATATCTCAGATGTAATCTCAACTTTCTGGATATCAATGACAACTCTGTCAAAATATCTATGGCAAAGTTAAAATGCGTAAAGTTCACTATTCTAACTACACCACCATTGCCAACAAGCGTGGGTGACAAGGCCACATCCGCACCACTACCTACTATTGGGAAATCCCTATATATGTCGACTTTCATCCTTCATGGCAAAGAATACATCCAAAATGCCTAACTCATTTTCCTTGCCAAGAATGCATCTGTAACCAAACCTCTCAACATATTCAGTCTTCCTTATCTTGAATACCTATTCAACCAAGTCTCTCAAAATGCCAAACTCATTTTCTTAGCAAGAAACCCTTTTCGATCGAAAAGGTTTACACCAGCATCAAAATCTTATACTTTTTCCTTCAAGAGCAAAAGTATTCATATTATTAGGGTTGAGAGTAAGAGTATCTTATATCATGCTCTTTCTCTGTCTTTTCCTTTGCCTTTGCTCTTACCTACAAGGCAAAGAGAAAGAAATCAATAAGTCGGAACCTGAAATCAAATTTCCGATTAGGAACTGACTGCTTGGAACCTTTCCTGATTGCTTACCTTGCATTGCTCTCGAGTAGTCATTTTCAATTGTTGTTGAAGCTGGATCTCAAGTCACCAACATCATAGAATAATTGGTACGTTGTTGGCTCTTTACACTGAAGTTGCCAAGCATGGATGAGTCACCAAGAAGTGATGGACCATCCAAGGGTAAAGATTGCGCACCACCTCTACTAGGCAAGAGACTGAAACAGAATGATCAATGATGAGTCTATGGAAGTCCAAAGGGAAAAAATTGGTGGTTAACTGAGTGAATGGAAGACCAAAGTTCAATGATGGGAATCTTACTCACAGTCCCAGCAAACTTTACCAGTTTATATCATTCACATGATGTACAAAAAAAGTAATGAAAATTACTAATTGATTACAAGTTACAGAGATGCCGCACGGATTAAAGTCTCAGTTAGACTATCCACAGACTTGGCACTACTATACTGTTGCATGCCCGAAGCATGACAGTTGCCGTATGGATTCAAGTTCTAAAATGGGTAATCCATGGACACGGTAATTTTAATATATTTTATGCCTGAAGCATGATCGATGTGTAAGTTCCAATGATTCAACTCCCCAGAAGTAGAGATTAAAAATCCAAGCTCTATAACGCTCTAGAGGAGGTTATGATCCAAATTCTCAAATAATTCATCTAATAAGAGATGACTGTCCTAGAAGAGACAATGTAAAGCCCCTAAAAAGAAAGGATATCCAAAGTAATGAAATACTTATAAATATGCATGTGCATGCATGTGAAAATTATGGGATTATAAATTGATGATTACCAATGTTAATTTTGGTTTTCAGTAGCTACTAAATTCATCAATGAGCTGTGTTGATATTAAGCCACGTTTTTTTGTTTGTCGACAAAAAGAAAAATTATTGGTCAAAATGGAGAAAGACAATTCCATTACTATTTATTAAGAACGTGGAAAAATAGACCTATAGTACAAATCGCCAAATGATGTTGAACCCAAAAGGTTACATATGGGCATTTGTAATACAGTGAACTACACACAACATGATATGACACAAGGTTCCTAGTTAAAACCTGAAATTGTGATATAATCCTGTAAACATGATTTTTCATTGTGAAACTTGTTCATTTAAATGGAGAATTATATATTACACGAAGTTTTATGAAAGACTTGAAGCATGTCTCCACAAGTAAATCCCTCAAGTATACATGGAAGCAAGTTACTTTGTATAAATTCCAAAGGAGAATGTGTCATGAAGTGTAGAAAATTCCTAAAGGATTCAAACTACTTGAAGAAAGCCTTTGAAAGGTAAAGCATAAATTATGTACTCAATACCAATAGATGATATAAATTGCCTTAGTGAGTACTATCTTTATGATGTTGTTACAACATGCTAAATCTCTTGCACGAGTTGATAATATTAGAACGGGATTCCTGAAAAGTTTAGAAAGATTATAAAACGTTGAAAAGAATATTGTCTCGAGCTGCATATCGAAAAATATGCCAACATAAATCTTATCCAAAATGTTTATGGTATTAAAAAAACTATATTGATTGAAGATTATGAGTTGAATACTCAAATGATTAACCAATATTTAGACATTAAGAAAGATCATTCATTCTCGTGAGGGAAATGGTGAATTGATATTTCGTCTAGGAGTACCATATTTTAGTGAGGTATGTGTCTTACTGTATTTAGTACAATACACTAAATCAGATGTTACATTTTTTGTGAAGCACAATACCAACATATGGTATTAGAATGAAGTAAGGTTTTTCTTTTGATAACTCTAGGAAATTATAGACATGTGTTTGTTCTATTCCAAAGAACTCACCAATAGCCATGGTCTTATTGGGCAAACAAAAATCTGAATATCTCTCTAGCTTGCATACAAATCGCTCTCAGAAATTATTTGTATTTACATATGGAAATAAATTGATCCTACAACGATCAAGGAAGCAACATTCATTGCCACATCTTATTATCTCTCAAAAATATAGGAGTTTGGTTAAAACCTGTGGCCATTAAAATTTGGAGCACATGTGAGCCATCTTCAGAAGCAAGCACTCCTACTATCATGAATGGTATTATATTACATCAACATAGTAATCAGTCAGATTAAAGAATTCGAAATCAGAGGGAGATACTCATCAGGGGGAGCATCCAAAACATATCAAGGTTTTAACGAACCAACCGAAATTGACGTATGGCTATCCAAGGGGGAGTGTTTTAATATAATATGTAGATGGCACACATGAATAGTTAGTTACTATTCATAAAAAAAAATCAGATGGATTATTATTCATATGAAGAAAAACGGATGGGTTACTAGTAAAGAAAGAGGAGCTATGGAGGAAAGGAAGAGAAGAGAAAAGAAGAGAGATGCGGAAGAAATTACCAGTGAGTCAGGCTATAGAGAAAAGAGGAAATAATGAGAGTTATTTTGTACTCCTATTATTTCAGATAATGAAAAAAAGTACTACTGCTGCCTCGAGGACGTAGGCACACTTACCGAACCTTGTAAATATTGTATCTTATTTACTTTATTCCACTGCTCACATACTGTCAATTTTACAACAAATAAAGAAATATTTCGCTACAAGATAAAATCTCTCCACAAATAAGAAATACTAAGAAAGTACTACTGCAACCCTGAGGATGTAGGCACACTTGCCAAACTTCATAAATATTGTGTCTTATTTACTGTATTCCACTGCACACATACCTTCGATTTTACAACAAATAAAGAAATATTTCACTACAAGATAAAGTCTCTCCACAAATAAGAAATACTCATCATTACTCCTAAAAAGCATCCACAAAAAAATACCAGATTCAATTGATATTTGACTTTCTACACATTTCTAATTTTAGCAGCAGCAAAATTTTTTTCAAGATAATTTCTTTTTTTATTTAATACAACAATACTTGGGGAAAAGGAATTTGAGCTTACTTACACAATGGGCCCATCATAATTAGATCTCAATATATGAGTTGAACTTGATGCCTCGCTCTTACAACAGAGAAAAATAACTAAACCGTAATATTAATGACCAATTCCTATATACATGCGTGATGGAGGCCCAACTTCAAAAGTTTTGTATGGACAATAGGAGCAAATTGGAGACCCAACTACGCAATTGCAGATTGTGATGATGTTGTGAAACATTTAAAAAAGGCATACAACTTCTCAAAGTGAATGAGGTGCTTTCTGATGCGGTAGAGGTGCAGAGTATAGAGCAATGCAGCCAATGTCACCACACCAAAAGACAGTAAAGTCAACTTCCAAAAATCCTGAAAAATAACAATGCAGTTAAACAAACACCCAAATGGGTTTCATTAATAACTTAATTAAATATTTTAGAAACTTAAAAAGTTTCTGAAGTGAGAAATATAAAAAATTAGTGTCACACAAAGTCACCAAACTATTTTAGTCTTTAGGTGCAAAACAAAAATGGAAGCTGTTCAAAACTAGAAGAAGTTGACCATTAGGCTTTTGGCCTATACTCTATAGCTTGACTAATATACGAATGATGTTTGGGTCAATCGAACTAGGGATGCAACTCAAGAGAAACTTCGATGCAGCTGATCGTATATTTTCTTGTGCCTATTACTATTATGTTGTGTATATCGCTCTTGTCACCTGACACGATCACGTGAGAAGAGAGTAGAAAAAAAATGACATACTACCGATTGAACGTTATGTTTTTTTCTGTAGTACTTTGTGGGTTAGGTAGTTTGTAAGGTCAACCTAACTCTAATTCATACTTCACAATTTGAGTTTGAACTTACTTTTCAATTTCTGACAGGTTAAAAGCCGAGTAGGGTTATGTGACCTTTGTTGGATTTGGGTTGACCTTACCTGAGTTGCACCCTACCTAGAATCATCAAGCCATAAAGTAAAATATGATTACCTGTGGATTAGAGACGATTATTCCCATGACATAACCCATCAGATCCATAATTGACTGAAGGGAGTTTTGAACACCTCCCACTACACATCGATCCGATTCAGGAACTTGATCCTGTCCAACATATGGATACATCTAAATGTCAAGGCATCAAAGAAATGCTGAAAACACTTTCATCACAAATCATAAAAAAACCTATAAGATTATTAGTTTAGTTTAAATTAATATTGTTTTACTTTACCTGCATTTGTTGGATTACCGCTAAATCAAACATCCACAATCCAAGCCTAGAAGCAGCCACTCCTGCCATCAGCATATATGCTGATAAGTTGCTATTAGATATCCAAATTGAAGCAACACACAGTAGGAGGAAGGTCCACTGCATTAAGAAATAAATATGAAAAAAGATTAGAATCTGAAATTGTGACCACTCGAAAATAAGTCCGGTCTAGTCAAATTTAACTGAAATTGTCCAGTTCAGACCGATCCATCAAAGGAGCGCCAAAGTTTTTACCTGAGACCAGATGGACCAAAGTCCGGTTCTGAGTTTTAGAATATGAGATTGCACTATAGGGTACACAATTGTTGCAGCAATTCCAATTGCAGCACTGATTCCACGTGCTATCCCAATGACATATGCAGGTATGCCTTCCCATTCAAGTGTAGCTGTCATCAATGTCCCAAAGCTGGAATAAGAGATTCAATTGGTAAGAGACTTACTCACAAATCACAACGTTAGAATAAAATATATGCACGAATAGAACCGGTTTTAAGTTTTTAATCAAAAAGTTTAGACGAACTAAATGACTAAATTTCAAGTGCAACCAAAAAAGAATATGGATGTTATTTTCTAACTTCAAAGATTAAGGACTATTTGGAACAGGTTTATGTCTAAACTGTATCCCTACTAATCCCCTAAAAAATGGTGGGATTCCTAGGAACTAGTTTAAACATCAATCTTTATACGAAGAGTCCGTCTTAATCCTACAAATTAGAAGATAACATCATATATTCTTCCAAGACTGCACTTGAAATCAAGTCGTTTATCTCGTCTAATCATGTCCGACATATCAAACATGGCCTAAACCATAGTTTATATACGGTTTATTGTCCGTTTAGTATCCTTCTGGTTCTATTTTTGATTAAAAGTTTGCAACCAGTTCTATTTGTGTGTATAGCCAAAGCCACGAAACGAAAGTTAAGATAAAAGGAAATTAGTATCGGTAGGGTTTTTACCTAAGCACAGTAAAAAATAACAGAGACAGAGCAACACCAGGGAGCACAACATCTTGCTGCAAATACACTCTCCATGCAGCCACATAAGGGATCCTTGAGATCATTTCAGTTACTCTCTTAATCCAGCTTACCTCGGCCGGTTCCAAATCGTTTTTATCATGAGAAAGCAAGCTGCTTGTCTCCTGACCATCAGTAGACACATCACTTCTTGAAGGCATTGATATCTTCCGTTGGCTGCTTTCGCCTAGAGCCGGAATCCCGTTGTATACAGACATGAAAAGCCAGTATTCCAACCAGATAGTTGTAGCGTTCCAGAGTGCTAAAGTTAAAGCAGAAGCCTTTAGGGACACAAAGCTGATAATGAAGCCAGTTAGCACAGGAGCACATAGCTTGCAGAAGAGATCGATACGCCGAAGGACCGAGTTCATTTTTGTCAGTATTTCTGGATTAGAATGGTTTTCCGATATCACCACCACCCTGCAGAAAGAGCAGTTGATATATGATATGCACAACAAATCTGGGCTAAGGATAAACAAGGACTACCAAAAAAATCTCATCCTAGAACTTACTTCTATTAAAAGTTAAACATGGCCTGTTTGGGATCTTATTTTGCAAGGGCTAAAGGTGTGTTTTCAAGCTAAAAACGTTTATGACTGTATTTGTCAAACAAATAGAAGCGCTTTTACAGAACCACTTGTCAAGTGCTTCATCAAGAAGCACTTTCAAGTAATTTTTTATTTATTTTCAAAACTCACTTGAATTTTTAACAAATATTTCAGCATGTTTCTAATAAGTGCACTTTTAACATAAGCGTGTTGTGCGCATAAATTCGTCATTGTATTCATACTAATTCTCATTGTTTACACCTTTGCTTTACTCTTTTATATATGTTTTACATTCTATTTGTGTTTTGTAGGTTGTAACAAGCAAAGAGTGAAAATGAGCTAAAAAGAAAGTATGGAGACTAAAAAAGCTTTTACAATCCTACGCAGTTAGCACTATCTGTGCAAATCAACGGAGTTCGCGGAATAAGTTGTACCAACTCGGAAAGAACCAGGAGATGAGCCATACAAGCTTGTAAAGCTACGAACGTCTATTTTCTATAGAATTTATGGTAGTGAATATCATTTTTGAAGAGGACGTTGTGGCAGTTTTAGTATATGAAAGTCGGGCTGCATGCGAATTCAAAGTTTTCTACCACTGGGCATATTAGAGGGTTAACATTTCTATTTACAGTTGGGAGGAGCCAAAAGTCTGGAAGAAAACAAATGAGAATGCTTGTTTTATATAGGGTAATGCTAGAGAGCAAATTTTTTAAACCAAATTTGCAAACAAATGATGTGGTTATAGATGATTGGATTAAATGTCGATTAATGTGCTTTTTCTTATTAGTGCCACATAATTTAGTTTGCAATTTGGTTTAAAAATTAACACGTGTCATTTTACTTAATCTTGGTTAATTTTTTTTTTCAAAATTTATAAAGTAACATTTAATATGAAAGTTAATTAGAGTTATGTGAAAAGACATGTGTGAATTAATCAGATGTAAGATAATCATATACTATAATTATGATGATGAAAAAAATGTTCTTAAAATTAGTTTTCCTAACATTATTTTTCGATATAACGAAACTTTAAAACTCATTAGGTGAGAAAAGATAAGGAGGCTATTCTTGGCCTTTGACTGTTACAAATGAAAGGGGACATATTATCCCTGATCAGAGCAGCGTGCAAAACAATAGAAAAAAGAAAAGAAATAAAAAAGAGAGCAGCCACCAAACAGAGGAGGCAGCAGCAGCGTGGAAAACAATAATTAAAATAGAAAATTCAGTGCCAGCCGCACCATCTGATCATTAGAAATGTCTTAGTCAAGTTTTTTTTTTTAAGTTTTCGATTGTGCTTTGTTATAAACGAATTTGATGATGTTTATTGATAATTTCAGATTATATTTCACTTTTTACGTGTATTTTTTATGTTTAATCACCATAATTATTTCTTATATTGAGTTTGTTACATAGATAAATTTAGATAATCGAGTCTTGTGCTTATGCCAAGCGACAAAAGAACTATTGCAAGTTCTTGGAGTTAAGTAGCATGAAAAACTGAAATAGATACTGTGTTTTGGGCATTGTGTCTTTTGTCAATTCAATTGTATTATACTTTCTCGAGATGCAACTTAGCATATAACATTATAAATGCTTTGAGAATGGAAAGAGTTAGAGTAGAAACCATGCCTTATTCGTTACTTAGGATAATCAATATATAGTTTAAAGAACAAATATCATGCCTTTAGGTTGACAAACACGAATATCTCAATCTGTTTTATAGCATTGTGCATGTCATTGCTTTAGGAAGGTAGTTAGTAGTGAATACTGAAACCCTAACTCGTCTTCTCATTGTTTCAAATATTCCAAATCTGTTTGCATTTGATTATTTTTGTTTTATTCTATTTTGTTTATTATCAGTTTCAAATAATCTTCAATACATTCTATTAAATCTCTTGTGTGCATCTTTGTTAGTTTTTGTGAACAAATTAATTTAAACTCTTAGGAATCATAATCTAGATACATATTAGTGCAATCTTGTGGGAATGATCTTGTACTTGCTTTCTATACTAGGTGTTCTTGTGTATTTGCAAGTTTAAAACGCATAATTAGTAGCTTAATATTTGGATTGTTAATCTCAGAGCAGCCTCGTTCTAATGAAAGTCTGAGCAATTAATTTGAGAATTTACCAGTCTCTTTCAACTAATATGGTGCCGGCGAGAGTAGAAGTAACTCCAACAGCTCCTGCGACGTTGGTTAATATTACTAGCATGATGAACGCATGAAAATTTGTGCGGTTTAAATCAGAGTAGACCAGTAATGCCATCACAGTGCCTCCAGCAATAATAGAACAGAGATTTTGTGTTACCAACCAAAGCCGGAGAACCTGTTCACAGAAGTGAAAGATGTGTATAATTATGTAAAAAATTTTTTGTCTCCCTTTTTCTCTAACAATTCACATATATAAGCTTGCCTATACCTTTATATATGTAAATCTATCCACCCAGTGTCCAACTAAGGGTCCGAAAAGCGCCGTGGAGGCCGATTCCACCGCTCCATAGATAGCAGCAAAGAGTAGGGAGTCGGGCCAAATGCTTATCATGTATAAACCAACAGAAAATTCCCACACCCTGCAGAAAACAGAAGAAAATTCAATTTTCAATAGAAATTAAAGTTTGATCAAAATCCAACCTGCCCACTCATTTGTTCCTTTTTAGAGATTTCAAGTGATGTCACTAATCAACATGTTCATAATCTGTTGAAGGAGATCGAGCTTAGAAAGGAATGTTGACTCTATCAATATTGTAAATAATTTCTTCCTGTTTTGTAATTGATTTAGCTTGATAGTAGGAACCATTTTAGGATACTTTTGTAACTATAAGTTTGTGGCTTCGCCCCTTGAATAGTAAGAAAGACAATTACATATCAGTTCTCTACATGGTACTAGAGCATTGATCTGGGCATTAAACAAAACACAAAACCCTAGCCGACCTCCATGGCAGAAGACAAACCATCAGGCACGGCTTCGGGAACCAAATGGGACAATCCCAATCACCAACTATACCTTCATCATTCAGACCAACCCGGTGCTATTCTTGTGCTGCAGCCCTTGGTTGAAGATAATTACAGCACATGGAAGCAATCCATGACTATGGCCTTAACGGTCAAGAACAAAATCGGACTCGTAGACGGTTCGATCGAGGAGCCGAGTGGAAAGGATTCAAACGAATGGCAGCAATGGAATCGGTGCAGTAATTTGGTCCAGACTTGGCTGCTAGGGTCGATGTCGAAAGACATCGCCAGTAGCGTGATTAATTGCACGAATGCTAGGCAGATGTGGCTGGACCTGCAGGAGAGATTCTCACATGTGAACGTGGTTCAACTGTTCAATATTGAGAATGAGATTCATGATTGCGTACAGGGAAGTATGACCGTGGGATCTTACTTCACGAAGTTGAAAGGACTATGGGATGCACGTGATGCTTTGTGCACCTTTCCGATATGCACCTGCGGATCGATCAAAGAAGTGGCTGCATATTTGGATACGCAGAAGACCATGAAGTTCCTCATGGGTCTCAATGAATCATATGCAAATGTTCGCAGCAACACTTTGCTGCAAGATCCCCTACCCACAGTGAACAAAGCGTACTCCCTAGTACTGCGGCATGAGAAGCAATTAGAAGTGACAGCGGGTAAAGCTCCGGCACAACCAGATGCGGCCGTGTTTGCTGTGAAGAATTCGAGTCGTGCATCCGAAGGAGAAAATGGTGAGTTGAAATGCAACAAGTGCAACAAAACGAACCATATTGCCAAGAATTGCCGTGCACATCTAAAATGCACATTTTGTGGCTGGAAGGGTCACACAATCGAATATTGTCGCAAGAAGAAGGCAGCAGCTGAGGCCGAGTTTGGTGCGGTGATTTCCAAAGGGAACCAAGCAGCAAGGAAGGAGATGCAGTTTCCATTTACCGCGGAAGAGTGCAAACAAATATTGAGTGTGCTGCAAAACAAGTCCTCCTCTGCTAATCATGTTGGTAATTCTACAACCCATGAAGCGCTTTCAGGTAAAGCCTTTTCACTCCACTCTAATGGCAAACAGAGTACTTGGATTTTAGACAGTGGCTGCACGGACCATATGATTTATGATCCCCACCTGTTTTCTACCTCAAGGCCAGTCACTAATCACACGGTGGAATTGCCAAATGGGTCCGTGGCACAAGTCACCCATATTGGCACAGTTGCCTTGACCCCCAATTTGATCCTTGAGAACGTTTTATGTGTCCCGTATTTCAAATTGAATTTGGTTTCAATTAGCAAGTTAGCCAATTCAGCGTGCATCACTATTTTTCTGAACCGATTTTGTATCATACAGGACCTACGTTCGGGGATGATGATTGGGACGGGAATTGAACGGGAGGGCCTCTACTATCTCGATAGAACCAAGAAAGGAACATGCAATCAGGCACGGCAGTCTACACCAGTCCTTTGGCACCAACGTCTTGGCCATCCATCCACCAGAATTCTTCCATTATTCCCTTTTTCCAATTTTAAACATGCTTCTTGTGATACCGACAAGTGTGCAATTTGTCCTTTGGCTAAACAAACAAAACTTCCTTTTCCTTCAAGTTCAATTACTAGTCATTCTAGTTTTGATTTAATTCACATTGACATCTGGGGTGGTTATAAAGTTGCTTCCATTTCAGGTGCCAAATACTTTCTTACCATTGTTGATGATTACACTAGATGCACATGGATTTATCTTATGCAACACAAATCTGATGCTAGGACTCTTCTAGTTAATTTCATCAATATGATTGCCACTCAATTTGATTCCAAAATTAAGATCATACGTAGTGACAATGGCCCTGAATTCAAACTTGGAAGTTTTTATGCCGATAAAGGCATCATGCATCAAACTAGTTGTATCAACACACCACAACAAAATGGGGTTGCAGAACGAAAACATAGACACTTGTTAAATATGGCACGTGCCTTGCTTATTCAGGCCGGGCTTCCAAATCGTTTTTGGGGGGATGCCATTCTCACATCTGCATACCTTATAAATCGCACACCCACTCCTCTTCTTGATGGACAAACTCCGTATGAAAAGTTGTTTCACAAAACCCCCAGTTATTCACATTTACGTGTTTTTGGTTGCTTGTGTTTTACTTCTACCCATGCACAACATCGTTCGAAATTTGATCCACGAGCATCCCGGTGTGTTTTTCTGGGATATCCTTATGGTCAGAAAGGATATCGCGTTTTTGATCTCAGTCAACAAAAGGTACTTGTTTCTCGTGATGTGAGTTTCTTTGAAAATGTGTTTCCTTTTCTCCTTCCTCCACAATCCGTTGCGTCCTCACATACTCACCCTTTACCCAATATTGACCCATTCTTCCATTTTGACATGGACTCCCTCTCTGCAGCCCATCTCCCTTCCCCTGTTGCTGGGCCCACCCCACCCACCGGCCCACCTAACCCCCCTTTACTCCACACACCCAATGCCGACCTCACCCTCTCCGAAACCCATCTGACCTCTCCCTCCCGTGCAGCTGCTCCTTCCCCGATACCACATCTTTCTCCACCGACACCCATCCCTTCCCCATCTCCGTTGCCCACACCAACTACCCCCGCTCCGCGCCGCGGCGGTCGCTCTATCCGGCCGCCTGCATACTTGCAGGACTTTCAACTCGAGACTAGCCTCCCATCACGGACCGTCCCTGCGTTATCCACGAATTTGGTCACTCGTTCAGGTACGGCTCATCCACTTTCTTCGGTTTTGACTTATGATCGCCTCTCTCACCTTCACAAAACATATATAGCCCAACTTACTCTTCTTAAAAAACCTACGAGTTTTTCTCAGGCAGTCCAGCTCCTAGAATGGCGTGCTGCCATGAAATCTGAGATTGCTGCACTACAGGCTAATGGGACTTGGAGCTTGGTGCCGTTGCCACCTCATAAACGCCCGATCGGCTGTAAGTGGGTGTATAAAGTGAAATTGAAGGCTGATGGAACGGTCGAACGCTACAAGGCCCGTTTAGTGGCCAAGGGCTACAGTTAAGTTGAAGGAGTTGATTACCGGGAAACCTTTGCCCCCGTTGCCAAAATAGTGACTGTTCGTGTCCTCCTTAGTGTGGCTTCTCTGCGTGGCTGGCATCTCCACCAGCTGGATGTGAACAATGCGTTTTTGAATGGCGACCTTGATGAGGAGGTGTTCATGTCTTTGCCTCCTGGTTTCGGACGAAAGGGGGAGACTCGGGTCTGTCGATTGCACAAGTCATTGTATGGCTTAAAACAGGCATCTAGGCAATGGTTTATCAAGTTGTCTACTGCCCTCAAAGCCGCGGGATTCCAACAGTCACGATCCGACTATTCTCTGTTCGTCCGAAATCGTCAAGGTAACTTTCTAGCATTGCTTGTATATGTTGATGACGTCATACTAGCAGGAAACAATTTAGAGGATATAGAGAACACGAAATTGTTCTTGGCCAATCAATTCAAGCTTAAAGATTTGGGGCAGCTAAAATATTTTCTCGGCATCGAAGTTGCCAGGTCACGGCATGGAATCAGTTTGTCACAACGTAAGTATGCCTTGGAAATTTTGGATGATGCTGGATTTTTAGGTGTCAAACCTTCTCGGTTCCCTATGGAACAGAACTTATCACTCACACAGGTTGATGGAAAGTTATTAGATGATGCTTCGGCATACAGACGAATGGTTGGGAGGTTGATATATTTGACCATAACTAGGCCGGACCTGACTTATGCCGTACATGTACTAAGCCAATTCATGGATAAGCCACGGCAACCACATCTGGAAGCAGCTCATAAAGTGCTTAAGTATATCAAGCAAACGCCGGGTCAAGGTATCCTGCTATCATCTACAGGGTCACTCCAATTGCGGGCATTCTGTGATGCCGATTGGGCACGTTGTAAGGACACAAGGAGATCAATCACGGGATATTGCATTTTGCTTGGGCAATCTCCAGTTTCTTGGAAGACTAAGAAACAAACCACGGTATCTCGTTCAAGTGCGGAGGCCGAGTATCGTTCCATGGCTACCACTTGCTGCGAAGTCACATGGTTGAAGAACATTCTGAACGATTTGGGAGTTGATCACAGACAGCCTGTAACCTTGTTTTGTGACAATCAGGCAGCTATACACATAGCATCGAATCCGGTGTTTCATGAGAGAACCAAACACATAGAGATAGATTGCCCTCTGGTGCGAGAGAAAATTCAAGAAGGGATGATTCGGGCAGCTCATATTCGAACTGCAAATCAGCCGGCCGATTTGTTCACTAAGCCATTAAGCTCGACACAGTTTGAAGTGCTACTTGGCAAGTTGGGTGTCATAAATATACACTCCAACTTGAGGGGGAGTGTTGAAGGAGATCGAGCTTAGAAAGGAATGTTGACTCTATCAATATTGTAAATAATTTCTTCCTGTTTTGTAATTGATTTAGCTTGATAGTAGGAACCATTTTAGGATACTTTTGTAACTATAAGTTTGTGGCTTCGCCCCTTGAATAGTAAGAAAGACAATTACATATCAGTTCTCTACATAATCTTCAAAATAGTTTCTGATATTTAATTTACTCTTTTCTTTTTAATTCTTTCTAGCACTTGATGTAGTTTCATAAAACTTTCAGCAGCAAAGTAAGAAAAACAAGTTATTAATTTCAACGCATCATTTGACGTAATTAAGAAAGTTCACAATAAATTTAAGCAAAAACTCAAACCAAAAATTAAAAAAAAATACACATGAAAAGTAGCAAATTAACCTGGTGCCCCATCTGGATAAAAAGTGGCCAAAGTAGAGATATCTGATTAGATGAGGAGGAACTCCATCATCTTTTGGATTAGGAGGCTGTTCTTGCACTCGGGATGAAAGGGGCTCTCTCACTTCCTCCATTTCAGATCAAAACACCGAGCGAGGGTTTGTTGTTACGTGGTGCAAAACTGAAACACTGCAGCTATCAATACAACAATGATAGATATTCATGCTGACTTGAGGATGCGAATCTCTCTAGCTACGTGGTTTTGATCTACTCGGAAAAAAATAGAAAATTGGGTCTCAATCCCGTGCGTCTACGCCTCAGAAAAACCTAGCTGCTAAACAGACAGTCACATTTGATTTGATCACGTGATCGCGATGCTACCAACCCTTTCTTCCTGAACTTTCCAACAATAAAAATCCAAATAGTAAAAGCATCTACCTTTTCTATAGCCAATTGGCCTCATACGCAACTAAAGTAGATGAAATTGTACTATAAAAGTTGACTTGATAGGTTGCATTCTCAATTATGTTATGAAAATGTTTGTCACTCATATGGATTAGGCAAGCCAAGTAGGCAGAATTATATTTTAATATTGTATTTTATATATAATATCTACTTAATTTTACATTTTAGTTTTGGCATCTGAAACTTGATTTTCTGATGTTAATGTAGTCAACATTACCTACTTTGGGAGAGTAGCTAAACTTTGTAAACTCAATTGCATATACCAAAGCTAGTTTTGCTTACGTGGCTCATCAAAATGGATTTGCATACTCAATTGTCATTAGAGATGCTCTAATATGATAGAAGGATTAGTTTTTAGACCATATAATGTAACAGTAGTTCACATGTTCAAACAATCGTTACGTTATATTAGTGATTCTTACATACATGACGCTTTGCATAATAGTAAAATCGAAACCCTTCGAAGGGTGGATTTCTACAAACATTAGATTAATCAGATGAAAAGTCACATCTTTGTTATAGGCCAATGTGTCTGCCACCCTTCCATGCCCTTGTGATTCAACTCTAATATGCTTTATATCTAATTATCATATGGTAATTATATTAAATACATGAAAGTATTATAACAAATTCAAGCAATGTTCCAATCCTTGGCCTTCAAATAATGTTAACATCTAGGATATTTAATCATAGTATATACTTTGCAATATTAAATTAAACAAATTAAAAAGTGTGGTCCAATATTTTAATGGATAGAATGTTGGTTTTTACTCATGTGTCTCAAGTTCGAAACTTCTCACTCCCCTAAATTATTATAATAATTTTGAACTCTTCCATCTTCTCTTAATAATAATAAAATTAAAAAAAAAGGAAAAAAGAAAAAAAAAGGTTAAAGGTGCACAGGGTAGCTGATACAAATGGACAGAGTTGTAATACAAATATTAAGGGGGAAACTTTTGTGAGAAAGGTTTATATTAACTCATCCGTTGAGTTGGATACTTAATCATAAATATTTACATTTTTCAATTGGCAGTTACGTAAAACTTTTGACTTTTTGCAAGTAATTATATCTTAATGATTAAATAAAGAGAACTGTTATTAACACTTCAAAAATCTCATTTTACATTCCTTACAATTTTATTTTATTTTTTTCTAATTATAGAGAGTTTGAAATATAAAATGAAATTTTTAAAGTATCAATAATAATTCGTTAAATAAATATATTTTCCTGTCAGTCAGCTGTGTCATGCTTTAAAAATACCACTTGCAAGTCTCAACGGCAACCTCGCTGGCATGTCCCATGTTGTTTTTACTTTCTTAATTTTAAGAGTATCTTAAGTTGGAAAATACTCACTCTTCACATGTAAAGCGTTTTTATTCTTGACAGATTAAATCATAAGTTGGCAGTGACACACGTACAAATGACTTAATAAAAATGTAGAAGTGCAGCCACACAATACTATGGTTTTGTGGTATTCCTTTTCACTTACAAATGAGAACTTTTATGTTCGAATCTTGTAGATGACGAATTCAATACTAAATTAGGCTGCTCATTGTGTGACTTAGTCAAACTCCTTCCTCTTAATGTAAGTATATCGTTGTACTAAAAAAATGTAAAAGTGCAAAGGAAATCAATGTTCTTTTAATTTTGTTCATATTATGATATGCTTGCTACTTTGAATCAGTTGGACACGTTTTCTAAATGAGTTTGCTCATTACATGACATTTGTGTTTTGACACGGGAGAATTGAAATTATTCTAAATCCGAACTTTGCTTACATTTACCAACACCTGTGAAATGGAAAATGTTGCGCTCCACATTACTACGAAACTATCCATGATCGAAGTATTAAAACTAGAAAAGGAACTAAACTAATTAGCAAAAGTACGCGATCTCATTTTCATTCATTCATTTTTCTATGAGTAATGAAGAGAAAAACTTCTCGTATACCACAATTATAATTTAATTAGAAAAGTGTTATTGGCGCTCTAAAAATCTCATTCTACACTCCTTACAAGTGCATTTTTCTTTCCAAATATAGAAAGTTTGGAGTGTAGAATAATATTTTTGGAATTCAATAACAATTCCCTTTAATTAACTAGTTTTTCTTAGTTATTAGTTTATTAATGAACTAAATTTAAAAATCTGATTAATTCAAATGATATAGTTGTCCACATCAAATACAACTTAAGATGATATGAAAATATGATACAAAAACATAGTATGAATAGCATTTCATGACTTTTCCGATGCAAGATTTATGCCCAAGTAAACATGTCAGTATTGTGTTCCGAGCCATGATGTCCATGAATCCCGCTGAATATGTACCTGTTTGGCCCAATTAATCTATTAACCTACATTTGGGCTGGAGTCTAGACTGAGCTAAGGTTGAGATGAACTGCTAGTGCAAGGTCGAAACCTGTGTGGATTATGTTGTTGTAAACATAATATAGTGCTATCTACATACTTATTTTTATTTTTTAAACACTCTGCTCAATTTTCAACCATCAAATCGAATCAATTGAAGGAAGTAAATGTTCAAAAGTTATCAAGGATGTGTAAGAGATAAAAATAAGTGTGTCATAGCACAACACTATTGCAATTCTACATAATCTAAATTACTTAATAACAAAATTTTCTTGTCAATAAAAAAAAAAAAAAGTAGAAGTTAGAAGGATCAAATTAACCGTGTCAGCAGAACTTTAAAAAGCAATAACCGAAGTAAACGTTATTGACAATATAGTAAACTAAACACAATTTTTTTTTTCACAGCCGCAAAACGAATGCGGGGGAGGCAGGATTTGAGAGCATTTGAATCAGTCAAATTATTGCATGATGTATCACTTGACGGAGTCTTTCATGTTCTAAAGTTTCGTGTTAATTTATTGTGTGTGAGTAAATTAACACGAGCTACCGTGATGCAAAACTATTAATTTATTGAGCTGAGTGTTTGTTTTACGTGGTGCAAAACCTAACACTGCAGCCATCGATACAATATTAACGCTGACTTCGTGTAGCTGCTTTGTTTTGATTTATATATTCAGAGAGAAAGAAAATTGGATCTCAGTACGGTACGTTTAACGCCTCAGAAAAACCGTAGCTGCTAAACTCGTACTAGACCTAGACCGTGACCGCGAAGCTGCCCTCCATTTTTGCCCTAACGTACCAACAATTAAAATCCAAATAGTAAAAGCATCTCCAATGGCATAGTCCACAGGGACTAAAATAGATAAAATTATACTATAAAAGTTTACGTGATATATTGTTTACTCAATTGTCTTATAAAAAAGAATATCGCTTAAATGGATTAGGCAAACCAAGTTGGCAGAATTAACCATCACGAGGTGGCCCAGTAGTTGGGGACAAATTCTAAGCTCGTATTTCACATAGCATGTCCTGGTTTCGATTCCTGATGTTGGTGAATCACATGATGGTGGCTAGGAGGAGGCTGAAATGTCTTTGTGAGTCTTCCTGATCTCTAGAATGGTCAACTGCCGTGGCGAAACCACTAGTTAGTCCCCTTTACGAAAAAAAAAATAGGCATAGTTATATCTTAATATTTTATTTTATCTATAACGCCTACTTTTACTTGGGAGTCTTAATGAAAGACTCCTGGCTACTGTTCACTTTTAACGTTAATGATATTTTAACTCTAAAAAGTGACTTATGGTACTATTCACTGATAACACATTTTTGTCATTTTGGTTAAAACTCAAAGTTTTCAAGCTCTTTTCGTCAATTTTCCTCTTTTACATTTTAGTTTTGGCATGCGGAGCCTAATTTGCCTACTTATGTTATTGTAGTCAACATTGCTTACAGTAGGCAAAATTTGTAAACTCAATTGCCTATACCGTTGAAGCTAGTTTTACTTAAATGGCTCATCAAATGAATTTGCATACTCAATTGCCATTAGAGATGCTCTAATATAATACAAGAATTAGATTTTTAGACCATATTATGTGACAGAAGATCACATACTAAAACAACCGTTATAATATACTAATGATTCTTACGTACATGACTCGTTACGTAATAGAAAAATCGAAACCCTTCGGCCGGTGGATTTTATAAGGAACGCATATGTTAGATGATACGTACAAATTAGATAAATGAGCAAAATTAAGAGAATTAGAATCCTGCACATGCAATTCCACAGACATAATATTAATTAGATGAAAAATCAGATCTTCATGAAAAGTATTGAGTAAACTATAATGCTACAAGTACTTTTAGCAAAAGCAGATAGGATTAGGATAGTTAATATGAAAGTTTCATTAATTGATATTGTTCATCTGTCTCTAGTAAAAAAAACACTTTTTTAGAAGCATGTATAGAAGTGTTTTTGCTTTCTACTATTTTGAAATCATAATTTTGACAAAAAAAAAAAAAAAACATTTCTTTTTCTCATTTACCAAACGCAATTAAGGCCCCAACTTTTCTAAAAAGCTGCTTTAAAAAATCAGCTAGGATTAATCATAAGCATATACTTTGCAACGTTTATTTAAATTTGCACACAGAAGCAATGCTGCAATCCTTGGCCTTCAAGCAATGTTAACAACTATGATTAGTCATTAGTATATACTTTGCAAGCATTTAATTAAACAAATTAAGAGGTCGAAGGTGCACGGCAGCTATACAAATGGACAAAGTTGTGATACAAAAATTAAGGGGAAAAAATCATTGAAAAAGGTTTATATTAACTCATCTGTTGAGTTAGATGCTTAATCATAAATATATACATTTTTCAATTGGCGGTTACCTAAAACTTTTGTATTTATGCGAGTAATTAGCTTTCGTTGATTAAATAAGTACATGTATCAGTCAGTCAGCTGTGTCGGGTTTGTAAAATACCACTTGCAAGTCTCAACAGCACCCTCGCCGGCAAGTCCCATGCGGTTGTTTTACCTTTCTTAATATCAAGAGTATTTTAAGTTGGAGAAGGATTTGGATCCTCTCCTAAACCTAAGAAGAGGATCCTCCTAACCAAGAACTGTGGGCCGTTGGATTTTCATCCAATGGTTATAATTATTATAACTTTAAAAGAATCTTCTTATTTATAACCGTTGGATTCCCACAATCCTTGATCAGGAGGATCCTCTCCTTGAGCTTAGGAGAGGATCCAAATCCGTCGAAGAATACTTGGCTCCTCACATGTAAGGTGTTCTTGCACAAATCAAATCACAAGTTGACCATTGACACACGTCTAGATGACTTGTTAAAATCAATGTTCTAAAAAATGCTAGGCGCTGGTCGAGCAGCGGGCTGGCGTCTAGGCGGATTTAGGTAAATTTCTTATATATCTTGTAAATAAGTGCATATTGACACTTACAAAAAATTAAACTTGTATGAAATTCATGGATAAGATAATAAATGAATAATAAAATGCAAAAAGAGTATCCAACAAGTCCAAATTTAAAAACACATCAAGCATATATGTCATAGAACCATAATGAGGAGTATTGTAGGATGACACATGTATAATAAGTTCTCAATTTTAAACCAAACAAAATGCAAAATAGGAGGAAAATAAGGAAATATAGTAATGTAGATAGGATTTTTTTTTTAATTTCAAAAAAAAAAAAAAAAAAAAACACCTAGCCTCCTAGCCGCCTAGCACCGCCTAGAGCCGCCTCACCCGCCTAGGCGCCGCCTAGACCCCAACCGATTTTTCCGACCAATTTGCAAGAAAACGCCTCGGATCACCATTGCCTAGCGCCTAGGCCGTTTTTTAAAACATTGGTTAAAATTGTAAAAGCGCAAAAGGAAATCAATGTTCTTTTAAATTTATTTTATTCGTGTCTCACTTATTTAGAATGAGTTGGAAGCTGTTTCTTTTAAATTTGATTTGTCTTCTTATTTGAAATGAGTTAGAAGCTATTTCTAAATGAATCTCTTAACTTTGCTTAAAACAGTTGCTAAAAATATGCACAACCTTTTCAGTAACAAAAAATCGTTGGTCCTCATCAAAAAAGCTTTAGTGACCATTTTATTTATATATATATATATATATTTTTTTTTTTTTGGGTAAATTTTAATAAGCGCATGCATAGCATCTATACAATTGCTTGTAAGTAACAACTCAAACTTTAGAGATGAAAGTGCATTTAACAAATAATTGTTTTCCCATGAAAATAAAAGTTTGGGTACATTGATAGGTCCAGGAAAAAAAAACCAAAGATGAGGGAAGAAAGTACGAAACTTGTTACAGGCACATCCATGGCGGGCGAGGGTCAGCACGACTCCAAGCACAGCCTACGACATCCTACCACAAGAAGCAAAGACACTAGAGATCAGTTTAGCCGGATATGCGCAATTGACGACAGAAGACATCAATTATCTGGCAAAGCATACAGTTACGATATCTATTTACCAGATCATCCTCCACAAACTTTGGCTAAGCAAATCATTCAAATCTTCTAATAATTCTGAGACCATATCTCGACTTCTCAGCATTATGTATCGTAAAATTACTTCCGATTCAGTTTCATATACGTTCTCATGGGGAAAATGAACGAACAGCCCTTAGAAATGCACAGTGATGAATATATGCTATGTTTTTGTATGAGAAACAAACGTTGGATCTTCTATCAGTAAAATCAGAGATCCAACGATGGGTTGAAATTTTCTGGTAGACAGCTGACATGTCAATCCACACACACACAGATATTAGCAACTTTCTCTTCCTCAGAATTCAAGTTGACCAGATTGCCGCAAATATTTTAACAGAGGCATATACAATGAAGACTCAACAAACCAAACCCAGTACAAATATTATGTTCGCAATAAGGGCTTTTCAAAGAACAATGCTATATACACTCCTAGTTTTGTCATCCTGCACTGGTTCCGTGAGTTATGAAGATGATAAAATATTGATTTCGGAGTACAAAATGAACCGATAGTGAGACTTTTTCGACTAGTAAAGAAAATTATTACCAAATGCTGAGATCTTGGGGGTGCTGTATACCACTCAAGATTGTTTGTTTTAATCTTAACAAACAATGAGTCAGGAAGGATGGAGAAATGAAAGGATGCAAAGGGTTAATCATGAAGGACAACGGAAAAGAAATATGTGTTTCTCCCTCCGCTTACATTGGTGATGGGAATGAAAGTAGGGGGGAGGGAGAAATAAACTCCAAAAGACTCAACAAAGAAGATGCAAATTCAAAGCTTGAAAACCGATGTGAAACAAAAAACATTTTGTATGTATCTCATAAATGAAGGAAAACAAATACAAATGAGCTATGGAAGTCAATCAACAAATACAAAGTATCAAGTAAGATCAATTACATACATACACATAGAAGACGTCTTCCAACAATACGAATGTTCATAGGATTACAAATTTTGAAACTCACATACGGGATCACACTCGTTGTACCTATTTTTGCAGACTCGAATTATTCTAAATATTGAACGATAAAGTAAAACAAGTACAAAAAGGGCAAGAACAAAAGCAATACCAGCTCAAAATTTGATCGGGCGTGAAGGCTAACTTAGTCGTGCTAAGAATCACACTTCAGTTCATCTGAATCTGAATCACTTGCATTATAACCTGCCACAGACACAGAAGACCAAACAGAGGCAAAGCTAATAAGGCAAGGATGATTAGCACAATGATGACGATAACACAAATTGCAAAGAGAGAAGTCAAACCTGGCTGCTTATCACCAACTTTCCAAGCTGAAGATCGCGTCCTCGACGCTCTTGTAATCCATACTCTTCCCTGTAAAATTGTGAAAACCGAAAAGCATTAGCACAAATAAGAATCATAACCAGAGCTCTAATTAAGTACTAATCCTAACATTTAACTCTACAATTTGTAGTGCTAAACACAAAGCTTGCAACTTTAGCCAATAAAATTGATCAAAAAACAAGTTCAGCCACTTACTGTAAACTAATTAGGATTAGAACACGAAAACAAGATTAGAAAACAAAAAGCTCAGAACTTGAACCCTAAAACCCAAAACCCACATTAAAAAAAACCCAGAAATCAAACCAAACCCAGAAAGGCAATTACCATGTGGGCATCTCTGGCGACGCCATAGCCGTTGTAATACATCTGGCCCACCAAAACCTGCATGTTAATATCGCCGGCTTTGGCCTCCTTAAGCGTGTCCTTGAACCACCGCTTTATGCAGTCGGACACGACGGCGGAGAGCGGCACGCGGTGTTCGTTGCTGCTGCTGTTCGCGTTCACTGAGCTGCTTTCAGACTCCATCTCCTTCCCCTTCGACAACCGCGGCCGCTTCGACAATTTCTGCGTTGTCGGCGAGGTGGGCCTCGTTTGCTTTGGGGGAGAGGTCACTAGACCCTGCGACGTCGTTTTGGCGACTTGGTACAGCCTGGCGGTGGAGGGAAGCGACTTTCCCATATTATTAAATTGCAAACAAAAAGACTTGAAATTTCTGAATTAAAAAAATACTGCAAGAGATTCGAAAACGAAAACAGATTTTTGAAGATCGGGGATTTTGGGTTTTTTGAATTTTTAGCTTACCTTTTGTGTTGTTAAAGTGAAAAAATCAGATTCGAAAACAGTTTTTAAGAAGTGGGGAGCGGAAACTGCGAGGCAGGTATTTTTTTAGGGGACACGGCGATTCATGACTGCTTGGAACTGAGCGTGGGTGTTAAGGTACGAGGGAGGACTGAGGAGAGAGAAAGTGGCGGCCCGGTTAAATCGCTGCCATGTCCAGGGGCCGTACGACGTCGAGTTGGCGGTGGATGTTGGTGGCGAACGTGGTGATCTTGTGTGCTGAAGACTTCGTTTGAGTTTTGATGTCTGTATTTTTTTGGATTACTTTTTTACTTTTAAATATAAAAATGGCGCTAATTGACAAGACTACTTTGTAATATTTATCAGCATCGCCATGAAAACGCGTGCTAAATAGCAATATCAGCAGCTTTTCCATGTCATTGTGGGCCCTCAGCCACCAGTTTCCACCAAGCTTATGTATTCCATGACGTGTGTGGTGAGTGATGACATCGAAATGTCTAGTCATTCATGCAATTGAACAGTAGTAATCCCACAACATGAGTTTGTGCTCTTATGTGCGTGAGTTTGACTGTTGGAGGCAATCATGCAAGTGGACCTTAGGAGGCTCAAATGACCATTGGCCGCTAATATTAGTCAGTTTGAATGGTGACTGTTGATGAAAGTGAAACTTGCGAAGGCAAGTTCTGAACTAGCATCCGAAGCTAGGCGCTACTTTGGTTTGTATTGTTGTCGTTGCTTGGATTAGAGAGAAGGAAGGGCTTACACCAAAACTTGGGTGATCTGATCTTGTATGCCCGGGAAGGAGGAGTCGATAAAGAGAGCTTCAGATTGAATCTTTAATCTCATCTCTAGAGGCAATATCTTTCTCTATGCCCATGGTCCAAGTAGACCTTACTAGGCTTGAGTGATTGCTGATGGTTGATGCTAGTGAGTTTGACGTTCAGTTATTGATGTAGGTAGAACTTATTTAGCACGCACGAGTTATTGCTAGGCGTTCATAATAGTAAGTTGATTGTCTAACCGTTGTTCGTTGATACAAATGTTACTCACTAGGTAGGATTGATGCTACCATTGCTTATCCAAATATCACAATTGGATAAATCTGATGTCTCTCTGCCCAGTTAGTGTGCTTATTGGAGTTCTAACTTGTCATATATCTCTGGGATTATTGGCACCATCCCATTTGGCCCATTCTTTTTCTTGCAAGCATCGTTTGTATATCAACAGAACGGATAAGAAAGCCTCCCCAAATGTTGTCATCAAAGGGATTGCTATAAAAAAATAGTATTAATTATTGGTAACATGAACATGAACCATCAATGAAACGACGAAATCGGTTATTGTCCCCAACGATGATCTCTCACCCTGTAATCTTCGAGACGAGCTTTATCGTTTCATGACAATTGCAGCACACGCGAGAGCTTCTTATACTTTGAAGAAGTTTTATAGAGGTCGAATTTGGTATTTGGATATTTTTCGCATCATGATCTAGTCAATCATGAATAATTGGTTATGCGATTGTAGAAATGGAAAGGTTTTCATGAGGCTGATCTTGAACCGCCATCCAAGCACGAATACCTTCGTTTAAGAGAATATTTTTGGTGTAGAAAGTCTCAAATTCAAGATCTTCTGCTGCATGAATTTCTTGAGAAACAAAGTCATAGGCACATAGGTTCATGATAGATTCATCATATATCAAAATAAAACATTTCATCATAAAGTAAAGAATTTTTTTTTCTAAATATTTGATATTTTGATAGAACGAGAGTTCTTTCGTCTCGAAATCCGACCACTATTAATTTGAAGAGGGCTCTTTCTTTTTCTATATTCTTTCTAAATTCAAGGACTAACCACTGTACTGAATTCACAAGCCAATTGTCTTGAACATTGTCTTTGCAGAAACTCTCGCCCTAATTAGAGGGAGAATATTGAACACAAACATCTCGCCGGTCGGAGGGGACATCCTAATATTATACAAGAAGGTGAAGAAAAAAAAAATTCCCACGGAAAGGCTAGTTACAAAGCTCAAAGCGCTTGATCCTTCGCCCCTTGGCCCAACCCACCTGCTTATCTCAAAAGGGGCACCTTCTTTCAAGGAAATAGGGTAGCAGATCGTCTGCTATTTAAGATTCCAATTCAAAGTTGGTAAGCTGCTACCAAACCGGATTCTCACCTGCTTTAAGGTCCCACATTGACTCTCCAATCGAATATCTCTTTTCGGCTTAGTCGTGCTTGAAACCATAATATGTTGATATATGTAGGAGATCCAAATGATTGATGGAAGAAACACCAAACATATCCCAAACCTTTTGCTCCCACCGGCCGACTTAGATAAAAAGTTACTCCAACAATTTCTTTGTCTTCAACGCCCTTTAATTTGCAGGAATTAGTCACTTCAACATCTTCAATGGTTATACAGGTATCCAAAAAACGAACAAGATGGATGTTTGTTGTCCCAACCATTCTTGTTAGTCCCGATCCTGATAAGGAAAAGGGATAAATTATAACAAAGTTTTCGTGTGTTAATTCCTAGGAGTAGTGCTTCTTCCCCTATGCCCTCTATTGGTGGAGACCTAACCCATAGGTGTAACCTCCCGCTCAATACTCGAGAATCGACAATTGAAGCATCTGAGGTTGCATTAATCCACAGGTTCAGGTACAAGATAACTATCATTACCGTCTGGACAATTGGACATCCAACCCGTAATCGCAACAACCCAATTGCAAAAGTAGAGCTCTACCAACTGAGCTATATCCCCCGAGCCAAGTGGAGCATGCATAAAGGAGTCAAATGCTTCTTCTATTCTTTTCCTTGGCGCAGTTGGGCCATCCTGGACTTGAACTAGAGACCTCGCCCATGAAGTAAATCATCGCACCTACAGTTTAACCAAGGTATTGACGGTGATTCTCAAATATCGCATAACAAAATGTGATACGATGAGATAAAATCCAATAGAAACAAAGACATAGGGAACAGGTTATCTACTCTTAACGGTCAAAGTGAACCCTTTCATTCCGAATTAAAGAATTTGGAATGAATCAAATCTCCCCAAGTACCTACGACCAGTCAGTTAATATATTCAAGATAATTACGTGTTTACAAAATACCATCTCAATTCATCATATTTCATCATATTCGAGATGTCATATGGTTCTGAAGGATGAATTGAATATGGACAGTTTTCATTCTTGAACAAAAATTCATTTTTTGATTTATTTCATCTATTCCATGGCTTTTTTGCTAACAGGGCATTCTATGCCATCTTCATTCCCTTCCTTGCTTCAAGGAGCAGGTCGAATAGTCGAAGAAGGGTATGGGATATTTCATTTTCCCGGAATTAACCATCCCCACTTTGTCTTGATTCTCGTCTTGTCCCTTCTTTGACCAGTGGCAATTGACTTTTTTTTTAAACCTTATAACAATTCCTTTTGAATTACTTTCTTAGAATTTTAAATTTTTTTGCTATTTTAATGTTTTGATTGGTTTGGATTGCATTGTGCAATTCAATCTTTTTTTTTTATTTATTGAGATTCCGATTGTATCTACACATTCTAATTATTTTATTTGGGTTGCTAACTCAACGGTAGAGTACTCGGCTTTTAAGTGCGGCTGGCATCTTTTACACATTTGTATGAATAGGGTCCCATCCCAAATAATGAGAGATATGTAAAAAGCAGGTCCGATTACGCCTATTCCTAATCCTAAATGGAATGTAACGACGTAGGGATCCATATGTAAACATAGTACCTATCTAGATACGCTCGAATGACCCCTTCTTATAATTAGAATGTATATAACCCTATTCTGGTCTGGTCCGGTATGGAATGAACTTATAATCATAGAATCAACTCAATCATCAAATGTTCCAACCACAGATTTCGTATATTGTTGGGACATAGAAGAGGAATAAAAGGAGCATTTCCTTAGCCAACTCGTGAAGTTTTGCATATATCTTATCTCACAATGCGTGGGACTCGTCTCCAATAAGGAATTCGTGAACAACCCCATTTACTTCGGTCCAACTGCAATCCGGGATTTTCTTCATCCCTTGCTGACTCGTTCGTGATCTGGTATCTGCTGCCCTCATCCCATTTATGACTTGCAGAGTAAATATTTGACAGGAGAACATAGTGTGCTGAGTTCCATGGTTCTAGCTCAATGATTTGTTTCAGTACAAGTTCAACCAATTGTGTATTCCTATGTAGCCGGCGTCCACCCATGCTCTCCAAACGCTGCAATTCGCATCCACTGACATACTTTTAATTAACTCATAAGCTTCATTCAACAAACCTGTGCAGCCAAGAAGCTCCACCATACATCCATAATGCTCAATTGTCGGAGTCAAGGAAAAGACACTCGTCGTGTTATTGAAATACCTCCGACCCTCATCAACTAGACCGGCATGACAGCACACACAAAGCACCCTCATCAAATTGCTAGCCAGTCCCCTAATTCTAGCGCTCCTAAACTTGCACAAGCAGAAAGAACGCCGACCATGGCATTGCAACCGCGTTTCAAATTCTCCTTCTGCATTTGAAAGAAGAGGTCTATTGCCTCTTTAGGAAGCCCATTTAATGCAGATTCCTGAATCATGTTACCCCAAGAAACTGTATCCTTTTCGGGCATCCCATTGAACACACAACTCGCTTTCTCCATCCGGCACTTGGTATACATGTCTTGTAAAGAAGTAGCAACAAACACATTCCTCCCAATGCCAGTCTCCGTTATGTACCCATCTATCCACTACCCACTCCCTAAATCCCCTAACCTCCCACACGCAGAACCCGAACGAGGCTGAAACCATCAGGCCTCAAACCCATCTCCAACGACCCGCGAAACTTCATATTGATAGAGTTGTTGATGGATTTGACCATGTAGATTGTAGAAAGTCTTTGGTCCATAAGCCATACGATCGAGAGATTTTTCAGTATACACAATGCACAAAACAGTACACCCGTGCTTTAAGTTGAGACTTTAAAAATAAACCCTAAAATAAATCTGATATTTCTTAATCTTTTGCTACATTCCTCCTGAAACCAAAATTGCAGAGAAGAATTTTGCAAGGAATAGAAACAGTAAATTTAATAATTTGTAGTCTTGAATAAGTTCCACACATCGACATTTATATGAACAACAAAACAATGGCCTCTAAAATATGATACATATAGACTATATAGGGATACATATATGCACCGTAAGAACCATTACATTGCACATAGGATTACAAAAATTTCATTCCCGCTACGCTACATAGTACATTTATATCACAACAATTTACACCTAACAAGATCTTAAAAATGAGTATATGTGGACATACATTGGAACTGCGCTCGCACGCAGAGCTGTATCTGTCGTTCTTGTATAAAGCATTTTGCCTCAACTAGATTTCCGTGGATAGAGCTGACCGACGTTTCAACAAATAGATTCTGAAGGGAGAGAGGAGAAGGAGGGGAGTATACTACAAGAATTTTGAGTACGGAGAAAGGATACTCCAAACTACAGAAACGTCAAGTGTTCTGTGAGAAAGAGAAGTGACCACCCAGTTCAAGCCAATAACTGCACTGGTGAAGAGCTGCACTAGAATAAACCCCTTTAAGTATCACTCCAACTATCATCATCGTCATCTTCATCACTTCCTGCATGTGCCTGTAACGAAATTCTTATCGTATTAATATATTAACTAACAAGGAAATACTAAGAGGGAGTGGGGGAGAGAGTAACCTGGCGAATTGCATTTGCTTTCTCTAAGATAGCAGCAACCCTCAAGTTGGTTGCTGGACCCTGAATGCTGGGTCTTGTCACCGTTGAAGATCTTGTCATCATTGCAGGCTTCAAGTTGAAGGACTAAGACAACAAAAATTGGTTCAGTCTTCATATTCGAAAATAGAGAGCCCACAATGGGGAAAAGGTGGGTGACGCAAAAGCAAGAAGTATAACAAAAAAAGACAGCTCTAACCTTAGTTCTTATCTGTTGCAGCATCGAATCTCTTTCATCTACCTTAGGTTCGACCTGAGGCCGAACTCGTTCAGTTACTTTTTTCAACTGCAAAATGTTAACATGTCAGAAATGTATTTTGTAGAGCATAAATCTCAAGAAGAGCATGTGCTGAAAGACACCATCATATGATATTCATTTACCTTGCTTTGGCCATGAGCAGCAACAGCATCAATAAGGGGATTTCTAGGACGAGGGAGCTTAGTAACTGGAACTCCATTAGACCTTCCACCTTCATAGTCTGACATTACAGCAGAGTTATGGGATGACCATGCTACTTCTCCCTCCAATGTTGGCAAACTATGCTGAGGCTGCTCAACCATTGGTGGTGCTGTCACAGATGTGGAAAGAGGTTCTCCTAGTTCTGATTCTGAATTTTTCAGTGAATGTTGAAGTACCTTAGGCTCGATACGTGTCTCCGGAGTTACCTGCTGCACAGGCTGGATAATAGATCCATGAGAAGATTCAGGGTCATGTGTAAAAGTTACACATTCCGAGCTTGGTCCAGTGAATGGATTTGAACAAGTCTTAACTTTTTCTCCCTCTGAAGCTAAGTGATTACTTCCAGACCCATCTTGAGATACCCCTGGTAACGATAAAAATGAGTTCGAGAATTGTGCCCCCTCTAAATCAGGTAAATTGTACTGATGATTAGCATCATTAACCATGGCTGGTAAATGCAATGAATACGGGGCAGGATGCACCACATTGCCCATTACTGGTTCAGAAACATGTTGGAACTTCTCGCCTTCTTCAGACGTGAGAGGCAAAAATGGGTTCTGGGGAGGCAACACCTCACTCTGTGGTGCTGGCATATCAAATTGAGCTTTCTCATCAGATTCCGGTGGCCGTATTGGCAGCAAAGAATCCTGACCAACTCCAACCAATTCTCTCTGTGAAAAAAGGGAAGCGTGTTGTTTTCCCATCCTCCATTGCATTGGTGGTAAAGGTGGCAATGGTGGCATGTCTTCCAGATTGACCACAGTAGCTTCAGGGGGCAGGACTGATCTAGGAAGGGTAAAATCTAATGATTCCAATGTTTGCTTCATAACATCAAGTTCCTGGCCTGATGATTCTGGTAAGAACTCTGATGTTAAAGCTTGGGTTGGAAGATATTCAGGATGAGATTCCGGGGAAGCACCCCAGCATACTTCCTGATTGATGTGCTCCGTAGATGGTAACTGGTTGGGTTTCTCCAGATCCATGTGGTTTTGAGACCCTGCCTGTACAGATTGAAGACTTGATAAGATGATACTCGCTTGATCTTCTTCCGAACTTTCCACATCAAGCTCAGCAGATTGAACCTGCAGAGAACGCTTTAAGTCAGCTTCTGGCTGATCCCTTGCTCCATCTGTTGGCAAATCCTTGATATCAACTTGATTTGCTTGCAACTCCAATGAATTCTCCAAACTCGTTTCAGGCTCTGGGAGGTAGCAGGTAGGTGAAGACACAACTTCTGTATTTTCTAAAGATGCCAAGTCTATGGTGACATCACCAACAGCCAAACTGCTTTCAGTTTGTTCATCCAGAGAGAAATGATGACCATCATCAAATACTTTTGACCTGGAATGGTCATAAGTAGTTGATTCACTTGGGTTTGATTCTGCAGGGACATCATGCACAGCCAAACTGTTCTCAATCTGTTCATCCAGGGAGAAATTTTGACCATCATCAGATGCTTTTGGACTGGAATGGTCATGAGTAACTGTTTGACTTGAGTTAGATTCTGAATCTGGAGAAACATCTGTTTTACTTGCTTCCATTTGCACTTCTGAGTCTCTGACAGATTCTGGAGAAACCTCATCCAGTTCAGATTCTTTGTCATGGAAATCCCCAAATCCAGGAAGAGATGCATGCAAATTTATAAAACTCGTTGGTGAAGAAGAAATTGCATTTGGAGATGAATAACTAACATCATTGACGTCATTATCAGGTTGGGCATCAGCAGCAGAGGGCACAGCAACAGTTTCTTCATATAGTGTTTCAGGCACCACTTCATCTGAATCCACATGATCCTCATGGCCTGGGAAAGTTGGACAATTAGATGTTAGTTCCACAGAAACGATATCACCTCCTACATCAGCATCGCTGGTGAATAATCGTAATTCCTCGTCATCCATGGCCCTAGATCTCTCTTCTACATTGAATTTTTCTTTATAATGTGGAACACCCGCTTCTTTAACAGATTCAAGTTGGGGAACGTCCTCGTCTAAATCAGATAATTGCTGCTCCATTAGGCCATGTGTCTGGGGAACATCCTGCTGCTCTGTTAGGCCATGTGTTTGTGAAGCATCCCGCTGCTCTGTTAGGCCATGCGTCTGTGAAGCATCCTGCTGCTCTGTTAGGCCACGTGTCTCTGGAGCATCCTGCTGCTCAGTTAGGACATGTGCCTGCCAAGCATCCTGCTGATCTATTAGTCCATGTGTCTGTGGAGCATCCACTACAGGCTCTTCTGAGCTATGACTCCGTGCAGCATCCACCATAAACGGTACTACTTCAGAGTTGACTGCAGTTAGTGTAACAGGATCAGCAAATCTGGAAGCCGTGCTACAAAGATTTGTAACATCTCTATAATAAGGCAGTAATGTATTACCTGAAGATGTTTGTTCTTCTGGCAGAGCTGAGGAAAGCTGCTCTTCTGTTGATGAAATACTTAAATGTGGTGAATCAATCTTTCTCGCAAATCTTTCTAAAGAATCTTCATTAGCAAATTGTGTCTTAAGTATTTCATTCACAGCAATATTTCCACTTTGATCCTCAGAAGCAAGGGCTTCAACATTTGACAAATGTGGCAAAGCATCAGAACTGACACCTAAATCTTCTATATCTGATTCATCAACAGGATGGCTTGGTGAAGTACTTGGGGATTCATCATTAGTCTGGGAGTCGGGGACAAAAGCCAGAGAATTATCCAGATTTGTCCCATTTTCATCAATGTCTAGTGATTTATAACCAACTTTAATTTCCTCAGAGGGGGTATGATCTAACACAGGTCCTGCCAATGATACCACTGGCGAGTTTGCTCCAGGGTCTGAGTGCTGTAGGGTAGGACTTGTATCCCTAACAAATGCACTGTAAGATGTATCTCCAGGATCAGGGTTTATGTCTTCGACAATGCATACATTATGAGATAACGCATGCTCCTTTGTTGTGGCTGCTAGGGAATCCACGAATTCAGATTGCTGGTTGGACGACATCTCAAAAATCTCAGCTCCACAGGTTTCAGTGAAAGGGAATTCTTTAGCTGCTCCATTACACTCTGATGGTGAATTCTCAACCACGTTGTTTGGATTATCAGAGTGCGAAAAACTGGCTGTATCTTTTTCAAATGAATTCTTCCCGTCATCTGATGTAGAGGAGTTTCCAATTGATTGAGAATCCAAAAATCGAGTTTGACGCTCCAGATGCTCCTCATCTGCATCAGAGTCTATCCCATATTTTTCCACATTCTGGAAGCGTAGATTGTTCTTAGGCTGAAATTCATTGTTAATTTCCATTTCTGATTCCATATTTGCAAGAGCATCCATGTAATTGTCCACCTCACTTGTCCTATCAACATAACTGGAGAGGGTGGACCCCTCCATGCTGCCTTCAGTTTTATGTTCTCCACCAACTGCTAATTGCGTATCTGCTGCCACCTGATGAAGGTTGGAATAATTTTCATTTGTCTCAACATCAGAGTTTGGATCAGACCCCTCTGGAATTTCTCTATCAAAAACCCCCCTATTAAAGCCATCCATGGATGGTTTTAATATATCTTTATGGATATCAGGTGAAAAGCTAGCAATTTCCATTTCTGGGGACATTTCAGCAGGACTCACTGTAGTGATGTCAAGTATTCTAAGGTCTGGCTCACCACTATCACCTAAGGTCAATCTCAAGAGCGGTGGAGCAACAGAAGTTTCACAAATAAGTTTGCGTTCTGGTGAAAGAGTCTCCAGAAATGTTTTCATGTAACTTTTCCCAGTTTTTGAGTCAACTGCAGATCCATTCAAATGCCTTTTCTTCAATTTCACACGACATACAGAATCACTGGAACAATTCTCAATACGCTCCTCCAGGAACAACTCATGCAGTCTGCATTTTTTGAAATATAATAAGTAGCCACTCGTCCATCTATTATTTAAACATGAACATTTACACTAGCGTGAATGAGAATAGTGCAATAATATGAAAAAAGAGCTCTTACTTGGCATTTGACTTGGCATGGGATGTCAGTGCAACTTCTGGGGTTTCTCCATTCCTCCAGCGGGATCCTTTCTTCTGCTATACATAAAAGACCACAGTAAATATTGTAATGACATAAGTTGTATTGTATAGTATAGCAATGACTTGCCAACAGAAAAAGGAGAACCTAATTTGCAAATTCTTAGTACAAAAAAAGTAACATTTCCCGGTTTCCACATAGGCCTGCATGCAGGCGCACGCTCCAAACAAAATTAGGAGATGCCTAACACATGCAGTCAGTCAGGAGGAGTGACATGAATAGAACTTAATCAAGGTGCATGCTTAAAATTTAAATCTCAAAAAGAAGAACTGCACATTGATTGAGTGGCATCTATTTAAGTAATATCTTGCTCATACAGAACTAGGCCACACAAGACCATAGATAACAATCATGGTCGCTGCCCATTGGTGTCAGCACTCCTCCCTGAGGAGCAATGCCATGTGTTTTTCCTTTTCTTTTCGTTTTATACCTTTTAAGTAATTTTGTGAGAGGTCAAATAGTAAATAATTGCTAGGTAAAAAAGGTCCGTATGGCTGCTTGCAGAGAAAGATTTTAATGAGCATGATGTGTATAATAACATGTATTACAATTTCCTACATGACAGAAAACCTCGTACAATTGTAACCATAGCAACTAAAGTATAAGCAGTTAATGAGAAATGATCATTCCATTGCAATACCTTCACTTTACGGGTTTTCTTTTCTCTCTGCATCTCCACTGTTATTGAAGATGCTGATTCGACTTTAAAGAATGACGGATCAGTGTACCGCTTCAAACATGCCCCAGCTCCAGCAACATCAAACCTGTTAGAATGGGATAAAGTGATAAACATAAAAATCTTAAATTTTCCAAAATCTGTGCATTTCAGTTTTTAGGTTAAAGTAGCATAAGTTAACACAAATTGGGTCATCATACTTGTCCAAAAGGAATAGCCGAGGAGGACCACGGCATTCTTCATAAGAATCCATTAGAAAGCGAGGTAAGTCTCCACGGGTGATCATATTCTGTTCAGAACGCAGATTAGGATGCCAGTCAACCCCTGCAATAGAATTATGCACTTGCATAAATATGCCGTAATCAATGTCTATCAGCAACATGGTCAAAAGGAAATTACTTTTTACCAATGCATTAGATTTTTAAAGCTTTAAGCAGGTGCAAAACAAGTTACGAAGAAGAAATTACATAACATGTAGTCAAACCTGGGTTGGAAAAGAATGAAGAATGATTGGTTTGAGATAGAAGTGCCTTCTCAATTGAAGGAAAGTCTGCTTCAAGCTGTTGGATACGAACCACTAGACCGTGGCCTCGTGTAGCGGTTCCCATTACTTCCTCGTGCAAGTCATGAAATATTTCAGCAGCAAACCTATAAGTAAAAATTGGCAACGAAGTGCATTTCTCGTGAGTCCATTACCAACTAACTTAAAACCTAGCTACCAAATAAACTATTTAAAATGCCACCATAAAATTTCAGTTATGTGATACAGGCATATCAACCGGAAAGACCCAGATTACATATCAGCTGAAAAGGCTTTAAACATCATTTCTTGGACAAAGAAGTACTTATGTATCGATGCCCACCTTCGCAGTAACCAAATTAAATCCAAATTCTAGAACATTTGGATTTCAGTTTGATCCTACAACCAAAATTCATAATCCAATACATGGCAGACTCATTCCCGTAAAATATTCCCAATTACGCACACTTCAATCGCCCTAATCAAATGGTAATCTCCAATAATCGCATATTTAATCACCGGCATAGTTCAGTACTGGTGTCAAATAAGTCAACAAATTTCACTCGCTGTTAATCCAGTAATAAAGTCCAGATAAAGCATCGTAATTCTATCACCTCCAAGAGTCCAAATTTCAAACCCTAAAGTCTCAGCATTTCTGGTAAAAGCAACAATTTTCAACAATTCGAATAAAAAACCACTTAAAAAAAGTGAACAAAGATACTTACTCGGCAAGGTCGCCGAGCTGCCGCAAAACGCCGACAAGGCCGGCCATGGCCACGCCTTCCAGAAGAGCCTCTGGATCATCCCTATCGGCTGCTCCGTACAGTTCCGGATCGGCCAAGCCGTACTCGTTCCTTATCTGGTACCTCGTCAACGGCATTCTTCAGCTCTCCACTCCGATAAACCCTAATCTCCCCAACACTGCAAATTGTATATGGTACCTCCGCTCTTCGATTTCACATTTCCAGAAGAGAGAGAGAGAGAGAGAGAGAGAGAGTGTGTGTGTGTGACTGAATATGCGGTGGTCAGAGAGAGAGAGAGACAAACAGACGTGAGGGGAGTGAGAGAGACAGACGTGACAGAAAGAGTAGGGAGGGGAAGTAATTAAATGATTTGTTTTTTTATTTTAACTGAGAATTTTGGAATGAAAGCACCGGTGAGATAGAGGGAGCTCGGCGCGCATCCTGCCGCTTATGACGCGCTCGCTGTAAAGGATCTTGGTATATAACTACACGCCTAATCTCGTAGTTGGCGTTTTACTACAGTGACCAAAAATTAATTATGCACACTCTTTAGTGCAAGTTTAATTTTCATGGACCCGTTTGGTGATCTTTAGAAATAAGATTGAATTGGTAGAGACATATAAGATATGACTTGTAATTCATATATAAAAATAAGTTAAGATAGCTTACTTTATTGTAGATTCCTAACTCATCATGTCTAGTACTGTCCATCTTATATGTTAACATAATGAACAAGAAACTAGACTCAAGTTCATTTTAATTGATCATAACCTATCCCAACCAGCACACTAAACAAGCCTTCTATTCTCTTTTTATCCTTTCGTATTTTTGTACAAACAATAGTTTAAAAATGAGAAAATGAGTGCGAAGAAATCATTTGTGATGTAGTAATTAGTATGTTTGTTTGTTTGGAGAGATTTGTCTCGTTTGTTTGGGTTGGAATCGCTTGCCTTGAAGACCATAACGTGTTGGTGCTTCCAATAATCCAAAGTTAAAAGGAGGGCTAAGTTGCTAATGATGAAACAATTGGCTTGGAAATTACTGTTTTAGTTTTTCGGGTGACTAGGCTCTTGAATATCTGATACTGAATATGAATATTTTATATATCGATTAAGCTCATTCCATTGCTTCTCAAAGTGCTAAAAAAGTTTGCTAACAATTGTAAACGTTTCAATAACAACACTTCTAATATAAGTGATTATGAGAAGAAGAAAAATATTTGCTACGAAAACAGTTGCAAACGAGTCCTAAATCAAATTCTTATGATCACTTCGAAATAATTTATGAGGTTACACCCGATTCAATTAACAAAGATTCACCAATATGATAGGCAATGACACAGTCATCAAATATAAATTGTATGACAATATAATAGGTATGTGTAATGAGTTCGATATTTAATTGTGATTAATTTTACTGTAGGGCATTAGTGCCTTATCACAATTGTAAATACTAAATACCCTATCGGAAATCTCAAAATAAACTTGTTTACTGTTTATAAGCACAGTGTAGTTCTAATTCTTCCTTGCTTAATTTATGTTATTTCCACTTTATTCATGCTTATATATATATATATATATATATATATCTCATTTCATTCCATCGTGCTCTTTGTTCTGTCGGTCTCTCGATTTCATCACACTCTGTCATCTCATTTGAATCTATTTGAATCCAAAATTCAAATAGATGATTGCATGTTGTTTTTATGAGTGTTGATTTTCGATTTGAACTCTGTTGATGGCTGTATATTATTTTTATTAGTGTTAATTTTTAATGTGAATTGTGTAGATGGCTGCATGTTGTGTTTTTATGAGTGTTTATTCGAATATGTTCTAATTTTGGCCCTAATGTGACAGAATTATACTGGGAACCGTTTAAATTTTGGTTTAGCGGTCCATTTTTTTTTTATTTAATTTTTTTGGTTCCTTTTTTAACAGTCTGAAATCTGAATGGGAATATGGAAGCTTCGTTGAGTCTTTTTTTTTTTTTAATTTTGATTTGGTTGAGGGAGAGTGAAAAGAAGAGAAAGGTTGGTGGAGAGCTAGTGGTTTTAGTGGGAGTAAAAGTCCAAAGGGGGTCTTTTTTTAAAGGTGTCTTTGCTTTCTGGTAACCATTTTTCTATGGGATATAGTTGTACTAGTGGTTGTTCCCTTTTGGTTTCTTAGGTTATGTTTTGCCCTTCTGATCCTCTTCTTGGGTCTTGCTCATTCACCTCTCCTATGTTAAGCTTCAACCATACAAGATGTTTTAGTATGTATCGGTGTATAATGTATGTTATATATTTAGATTTTTGGCAATTGAATTCTTGTTTGTTGGATATTTGACTATACATTGAACAATTCATTGCTATGATACATGCTATATATCAGAGCATATAATAAAATTTTCATATGTATAAAAGCTAGTTTTAGCTCCCCTTTTGCACTTCTAAAAGGGCAAGGCTGTAGTTACACCTAGGTTTGAAAAGATGCCTCCACTCTCTGCCAAGACACAAATTAAGTTGTACCCTCTTCAAAATGTAAGAAAAAAAGTGTAAATCTACCGCAAGTTTTAGCACTTCCACCATAATGTTGTATTTACACCTCATTGATCTTCTTTTATTGAAGCATGAACAATGACAAACATGACTAAAGTCGATAATAACTTCTCGTTTATACATCAACATTCAGCATTGAAGATAAGTTATTCCTTAAACCTATCCTTTTCTACATAATGAATTAGGTCCACTTCTATTGTCAATGTTTTTTCTTTTCACTATAAAAACAATATATTCATATTTAGATGATGCAATGTCGGTAAATATTGCATAATTAACAACCATAGTACAGTAGGCGAGTAGGTATAGCTACAAACAATCATGTAAGCTTTGCTTAAAAGCTTTAAGTCATTAGTAGTGGGATGCATATGCTTTCAACTGTGTAGATAGTATATGGTGTGTTTGTGTAGCCGCAATTGAATTGATTTTCCACTTGCCAACAACTTCTCCAACGACTCTATCTGTATGGTCGACTTGTTTGTTAATGTTAAAAAGTACGTATAAGTGGGGGATCATAATTTTTTAGGGTCAGAATAAGACAAATCGGAATATGAACCAAGGTTGGTCATGAACTCAACACCAAGTAATCACACTACTAAGAGTATGCAATATCCAGTTCTAGATGTTCTTTGGGATTCTCCTGGTTTAATATGAGTTTTATATCCTATAAGGACTATCTCCCAACTATTATAAATACGTCGTTCTAGGTTTATCTCTGGTAATACAATTATAGCATACTCTATTCTCTTGTCTACTGCTTGAGTCTCATAAATTGTTTACTAACTTGACCCGAAGAGTCATTGCCTGATACCCCACCGGTACTAAGGTAATCTTGCAATCCTTTGTTGTTTTATAGATAGTCAAGCTTGTGTATCTCCTCCTCAGATAGTAGCACGCGAATTCGGTTCCAAAAATATGCATTTTATGAACTGAAATTCCACCATTTTATTACACATAAACTTTGTCAATCTTTTTTAAATAGGGTTAATTTTCATAAATGCAATTGTGTTACATTAGTGGTTGTTGTTACAAGGTACTTGAGTCCTTGACCCACCATGCCTTATCTTATTTCTTACCTTACGTATGTCTCATTAGGGTAAACACTCTTCTTATTCATTTACGGGAAAATAACATGACAACCACAAGTTTACTTGTTAACTATTTGACTTGCACAATAAGTGTCCGTCTATAGCCATTATATTTGGACAAAAGAGCAACGCTTGAATTCCATAACTATAAGTCCACAACCTTCTTTGAGTAAATAAAAAGGCCTGTACAAAGTTTAGCCCAAGGTTATGGGGGGCTTTTACCCAAACTTTTCGAGCAAATCACTGGTCCAATCCATTTTTACCAGGGTTGATAGGTCCCATTTGTTTCTCTTTGTACTGATAAATGACCTACTTAACTCAGTGGTCACCCTCTCACAACCATTTTGAAGAGTTGCAGGAATATATGATTGCGCATTGTGAGCTAAAACATAATTTCAAGGAATTGAACAATGTTGCATATCAGCTAACCAAATGGAGCTATAATTTAAACCTTGGTCTGTATAATTTTGAGCTTCCCCCAATAGCTTATGCAACATTTAACAAATGATCTTGTAGGAGCCCTCTAAGGGCCACTCTATTTATATTAATGATATGGTTTAGATTTTTTTTTTCTTTTTCTTTTTGAGTACATCGATAATTTAAACTAAGGGGATGGGGAGTTCGGCAAAGCCACACAATAAGCAGCCTAATTTGGCATCGAACTCATCATCCATGAGATTCCAACCTAAGACCTCTCACATCCAAGTGAAGAAGAATACCACCAAACTGTAGGGCATGAGAGAGTTTCAGAGAAGCTTGAGTAGAATTTTAAAGAAGTGAAGTTTAGATTAAGCACAATAAGCTAAAATTCACTAGTTGCAAAATTCATCAATCGCTTGGTTACCACGTTGTTTATTTCAAAACTCTATGGGTGGTCAAATAAATAATTCTTTTGTTTAAAAAGTTACTAAGTCATTCATGGTAATTTTATATATGGGTATAAGAGTTTTTTTTCTTTTCAATAAAATTGATGGGTGACCATCTATGAAATTTGGGTACGAAGAACCACTTTTAAGATGTTTTTGTTGCATTGAACTATTTCGGACTGGATTAACTTCAAAGGCAAAGTTAAATTGATTTAAGAAGCGTTTGATGCTGGATTAAATAATATAATCATAAAGTTTATTATGTTTCTTAGACCGACAAATATTTTATAATTAATATATCTTTTTCTTCTTTTTTTGTTTTTTCTAGAATCCTCTTCCTCTCTATCTGAACCTCTCGGTCCTCTCCCTCTTTTCCTTGGCCCACTCTTTCCCCCTCTCCTTTTTTAAAATTTTTTTTTTTCCCATTTCATCTTAAATTACTCTGGTTTTCTTCTTCTTAGAAGTTTGAAACTTTGAATTTGTTTTGTTTTCCTCAAAGGAAATGGCCTGGCGCAGAAGCTGGAGCTGCGGGGTAGCAAATGGAGTTGAAATTGCAGCATAAAACTTGAGTTGGATCAGATCCAGAGCAGATCCAGCTTCCATTTTTTGTTCTCAGATCCTAAGTTCTTCAGGGGAATTTCATTATCTATGTTTTCTGGGTACTGTTTCCAATCCAATTGACAAAAATGGAGGAACCCATTTCCGCATATTAGGTGTTCCTCCGTGAAGCAAAGAGGGCAAATTTGGGTTGTGGGTTCGTCGGGTCTCATAAGAGGGAGAGAAGTCAATTTGAAGCAAAGAGAGGGTTGAGTTCGCGGGAAGAAGGAGATCGGCGTGAAGGCACGATTTGGTGACTGGTTCGTAGGACGATAGTGTTGGAGACGGGATTAGCAATCCCCTAGTTTTCGGGGGGTTCTCACTAAAGACCCCTAGTGAAGGATTTAATCGACACAGAGCGACTTAGTCTCATTAAATTCAATCATTGCCCGTACCAAATCCGGACTAGTAATCTTAACTAAGTCGGTCCAGTCTAACGAAGCTTAATGAGGGATAAAAACATGCCTTAGGGGAATTAAGTAGACTCAGCCCTGTTGATCTGATTTGGGCCTGAAATCTACAAAATCCAGTAACCAGATAAAAACATAAGCCTTAGCAGAGGTTTTGGCTCTTCCTTCATGCTGCATGCACATGAAATCATCGTAATATACAAAAAGGAACATTAATATAATGTTATTCTTAATATACAAATCATCATGTCCAAAGTAAACAAACAAAAAAACTTTGTGTATATTTGTTTTATGGTTGGTCAATTTAATTATTATTTTATGGTTGGTCAATTTAATTATTAAAAAGTCGTATTAAAAAATAATAATATTCGGATGGAGTCATTGGTCCTCTTGCTCTTTTTGCCTTCTGGCTTATGGGAACATATTCAAGCATGAACGGTGGTCCATTAGTTGCAAAAGTATATCATAGGAGCAATTACTCGTAAAGTATTTCTCCAAGTACCCACTAATCATGAACATTATACATAATGCATACTATTTCAAGATTTGATGCATTAATTATAAAAAGAAAAAGCATTAAATGATCACCGATGTTGGTCCTGTATATAAAAAACACAGAGTTAGGGCCGGTCCTAAGAGAATGCAAATAATAGATCACCGACTTTGGTCTTGTATATAAAAATGCAACGTTAGGGCCGGCCTGACCTTGAAGAGAACGCAAATAAGAAACTACTAACTTTAGTTTTGTATATAAAAATACATTGTCTGGACCAACTCAACTTTAAAAAGAACCTTAGTAAGAGAGGCTGCTCATATTTGGTGAAGAGTTGACAATAAAGAAGACAATGACCCATAGCATCTTATCTTGCTCTATATATTTGTTAAAAAAGTCTATATATTTGCTAAAAAAGTAACCATAAATAAATGACGACCCACAACATAATCATAATTAGGAATTAATTCATTTGCGAAATAGGGTTCGTTTAATTTCTTGCTTTGGCTGCAAAACACAACTCCTGGGAGTTTTCACTATAATATGTATCGGGAAATACATAATTAAAGAGGCCAAAGCTTTGATCTCGATATTGCATGTAGAATATAGAAGAAACTAAATTTCATACACTCATTGCATGAAACACGTGAAACTGGTGGTTTATATTTATAATTGTTGTTTCAACTTTTTATGGATCTTGAAGAGTAAACACAGACAAGAACACATAATTCACATTGGTTGGGTAAATGTGCCTCTCATCTCTTTGAGAGATTTCACTAAAAATCAAGAAAATCTCTTGTTTCAAATTTTAGATCTTATTCTCTTTCGCATCCCGCTCACACCACTCAAAGTACGTGTTTCCCTTGTAAGTCTCGTTTGTTTCTAAAATCCTGAAGTCCTAAAATTTCATATTGCAAATTGCCGCTTTATCATACTTGTATGTAACAGTATTGACGATCGCTACACTAAATAATCAATGATCGTCTCTTAAAAGTCAAGTCAAACACGAGAATGCAAGCCAATTTTTTAAAATATTTATGGTAGTATTCACATATAATGTAGTAACTTCGAAATGTTTGCTTTCATTTCATGTAACTACCTAACTGGTGCACGAAAGTGTTTTTCATTCTTTTAATTTCGACTATCAATGTCCCTAACCACATAAATTAATGACTTTTTTACTTCAAATCGTCAAAAAAATCTCATGCACCTCAATATGGTAGCATATATAGAAGCCATCAGTCAGACTTGTAATTGGACCCGGAGCAATATAATTAAGTTCACGTAAACAATGATATACAATGTACGTACAAGGACATATTAAAGGTTAGTTTATCCAAATTAATTGAATACAAATTGAATCGATGATTATATTTTTTTTCTGGTCAGAATTGTTGACTTCTTTAGCTGCCGTCTTCGGCCATAAACTTGAGGCCCAATCACTTGTTACAATATGTCATCGGGACCACCACTTCTCAAATTAATATAGCAATCGGGGGTATTTGATTAAAAACCCAAGTTTCTAATGGAAGCAAGGTAAGCACTTTGACGTAAAAAATGTCAAAGTAGAAGACGGATTTGCAGGACACGCGTGCAATGTCATGGTGATATTCATTGTCAATGAAGTAAAAATAAGTTTAAATTTCTGTTCACCGTCTTGTTTTAAAAATCCAAAATATTATGTGTCAGTATACTCATATCATGTAAGTTTGTTCTTTTTAATAAGCAACAAAACCGAAATACGAGCTTATTGGTTCTCTTCTTTTGTTGCAACTTGCAACATTTGGTAGCTACATTACTGCATGGCATTATAATTTCAAATATTTAAAGGACTAAAAGTTCAAAACCCTAGAATACAGTCTGTATGGCATGGTTTTGTCTCTTCCCTCTTGGTATAAAAAAGCAGGGAAGATATCCTCTCCGGATCTCTCCCACAAATTCTAGGGATTAAGAGATCCGGACCCTTCAAATTTGATTCAACAACTACAAACATGAGGCTCTTCTAAAAATTATAATAATTGTTGCATTTGGATCAAATTTCAATGGTCCAAATTTCCGGATCTCTAGGATTTGGTGGGAGAGATCCGGAGGGGATCTCTTCCCTAAAAAACAGACCGAGTTCCAGAAAATAAACTTGCTTGACTCTGGTACTGATAGAATCTAAATCTTATTACCTTTCTTTTAGGAAATCTAAATCTTATTACTTAAGTCATGAAATCTTCTTTGGTTTAATTTAACTAAATTTTCTGTCCTTTTTGTACACAAAAACCATTAGTATTGCCTAAACTGGAATCAAAATCTTGTTACTTAAATCAGAAGATCTTATGCAGTTGTGTGTTTAACTTTAATTTATTAAACTTTAATCTTCATTTTCTCCTATTTAGTGGGCATCTAATCAATCCTAACTACTAGTTAATCATACGCCAGCGCAGGGAAACCCCACTGGTCCCTCGCGGTATCTCATCTGCCAGCTGAAACTATAAACAAATTCCCCAATTTTTCACCAGCTCTGGTTCATCTTCAATGCGAGTTCTCTTCTTTCAGCAAGCACATTCTTCCCTTAAAGTTCACAAGGCAGAAAATTGTAACATAATAATGTAATTGGGACCAAATTTGCATTCAGAATGGAGATTGACATTTTATTAAGAATACAGTGGATATGCAGGTGCACATTCACCTAACGAGTACTATTAGTTATTTGACATTGTTGACTAAATGTGTTAATTCACCTAACATTTCAAAATCTATTGACATTAGAACAAAAGATAGTCAAAGACTAACACTGGTTTGTTTTGCATCACAAAATTAACAAGGGAAATATATGACCCGCAAATTTTATTTTTTTTTAGCGTGCACCCTCCTGTTTATTATTGGTATTGTGAGATGTGTATACGAAGAAAAAATCACTTCCCATAAGAATATCTCTTGTATATCAAACTATACATATTTACCCTTATCTATATTGAGTCTAGAATATTGGGCATCCGAAATTTTATGGCATCTCTCACATCTTGTAATGTGAATTCATTTTTAAAAGTTTTTTTCTTATTGGCCTTTATATGCATTGAAATTAAACAAATATCTGAATTGAACGAAGATTCAAACCTGAAATTCTTTCAACATTAAGAAGAAAACCATCACTAGTGACCTAAAAAACTTGGCTATGTACATGAAAAGATACAAAAGATTACTTCATGAATATAGTATACGCATTGGGCCACTCATCAAGAAAAGTCCTTTATAATTGGCAGCTTAACTAGCTAGTAACTAGTAGTTGTAATATTTTATCTGCTGAGATTAATGCTTTCTTCGTTCACACAGATCTGCCGCCATGCTTAAATCCCAAATTAGGCCATCCACTCAAGGATTATTGACCACACTTTTGCTTTAAAATTGACAAAATCAGTCTCCAACCAAAAGGTTAAAAGGGAATTGGGCTAAATGAGTCATACTAAATTTGGCTCCGGGATAGGTAACATTTAACCTCAAGATATGCTAAGTTTGACCCTAAAAAGAAATAAAATAAGAAAAAAAAAAAACATATAGACCTGCATGGTTGACGATAAAAAATTAACATTAAAGTAATCTTTAAAATATTAAATTTTAAAGAGTTAAAATACAATCAAAGATTACGTCTAGCCTTCAGGAATGAAAATGACCTGAAGGGCAAGGCCAAGGAATAGAGGTACAAAAGATGAGGTACATATGTATCTAAGTTATCTTGAAATAACACAAGCAGCCCTCTGTGGAACCCACTCACCTAATGCATGTTTATGTCTGTATGTCTCAACTGCCTATAAAACCCTTTCTTTCTTCACTCAACACCACATTCATCCTTGTTATAACTTAAGCCCTCTCTCTCTCTCTCTCTCTCTCTCTCTCTCTCTCTCTGTTTATAGAGTTGGTTGCCAAAACATGCCTGCCCAAGTTATGCCAGAAAAAGCCCTTCATGGAATTCATGGATTGGGAAGGGACAACATTACTACTGCTCCTCTCCCCAAAAGGTACTTTCTCCTCAATTCATTTTTTGAGTTGTTACTAGTCACTAAAATGTATAACCCAAAATGCACATACTTTCAGAACCTTTTTCATCCAATATTTTACATGGAAAAACAATGCCAAATTGAAAAGAAAACAATTTATATTCGTTGTTATTAAATTACTTTTTATATAAATAAAGTAGAGAATAAGCGATATTAACTTCTACGTACTATCAATTTCTCAGGTTGGATGGAAAAGTTGCTATAGTGACAGGTGGTGCTAGAGGCATTGGAGAAGCAACAGTGAGGCTTTTTGCAAGGCATGGCGCCAAAGTAGTCATTGCTGACGTGGAGGATGCAGTTGGCACGGCCCTAGCAAATTCCCTGGGCCCTTCAGTTACCTTTGTTCACTGTGACGTTAGCTTGGAAGAAGACATGGAAAACCTAATTGAATCAACAATTTCCCGTTACGGGCAACTGGACATTATGTTCAACAATGCCGGGGTCCTCGGAAACCAGTCGAAACACAAGAGCATCATGAACTTTGATGTCGACGAATTTGACCGCGTAATGCGGGTGAATGTTAGAGGAGCTGCATTGGGGATGAAGCATGCTGCAAGAGTGATGGTTGCCAGAGAAATCGGAGGGTGCATAATTTCAACTGCAAGTGTAGCCGGAGTAGCGGGCGGCCTGGGGCCACATGCTTACACAGCTTCAAAGCATGCCATTGTAGGGCTCACAAAGAACACAGCTTGTGAATTGGGAAGGTACGGAATTAGGGTAAACTGCATTTCTCCGTTTGGGGTTGCCACGTCAATGCTGGTCAACGCTTGGAGGATGAGTGGCGATGGTGATGATGAAGATGAAGAGGAATGTACGGATTTGGGGATGCCTTGTGAGCAAGAAGTGGAGAAAATGGAAGAGTTTGTGAGAGGGCTTGCCAATTTAAAAGGTCAAACTTTGAGGGCAAAAGACATAGCTGAGGCTGCTCTTTATCTTGCTAGTGATGAATCCAAGTACATTAGTGGTCACAACTTGGTTGTGGATGGTGGAATTACCACTTCAAGAAATTGTGTTGGCTTGTAGCCTTTTTTCATTTTTGTTTTTTTCCATTTCATGGTGTGATTTTGTATATTCATAGACTAGGAAGTGTTGGAATATGATTAAGATAACATGATTTTCACAATAGGTGTAATCATATGTGAAGGTACACCATAATATTGATGTACTAATATACATATGATTGTAGTGAAATAAATAAATTAATTAATAAAGAAAATAATATAATAAATTAATTAATTAATTCTAAAATGATTTGAATAGTTGTATTTTAACGTGAAAAGTTATAACTTTCCCTGAAGAATACAACTCCTCCAGAAAGGTTATTTCCATCTCTATATGTTTGTCAAATCCATTTATGTCAGATTCATTCAATTCTATACTCACTCTCTGTTCATATCCTTCACACCATATTGTGATCGATAATTTAAGCGACATTCGTTTCCGATCCTGTGAACTACCCAATTTCTATCATTGGTATCAGAGCCATGTTTTTCATGAATCAAAACAATTTGCCTAGTTTTCATCCAAGGACGTCTCGAACTACATTTGAGACTTCCTCTTCGTCAAGTAATGAATCCAACAACGTTCTTACTAAGTTTCAACTTGAGAAGAGATTAGGAAAGAGAACGTTGGTGGACAAGGAAAATATTGAACTGATTTTGATCGAAAGTTCGAAATTAGCATTTGAGAATTTTCCTGCATAATCCAAAACTCACAAAAATACCTAATCATTCGAACATTATAGCCTGTTCGAAATCCCATCCTATAACTTGTTTGAACCCAGGCCTGAATTAACCCAACAATTCGAACTATTTTCCCACACCATTTCATTCGGCAGAGAACAAAACTCAATTTGCCATTGAACCATTTCAGCGTTCAAATTCACTAAGTTCACTCCCCGAATATAATTACCATTATCAAAATTTGAATGACTTACATCCAGGGGGTTTATTCAGTCCTATTAGAGCCTCAGAAAACCCATTACAGTCGGCATTACTGGTTGCAAAAACTGAAATGTAGAAGACATTGAAACTACAAGTGTTGATCGATTTCCTACATTTTGGTCACCAAGCCCAAGGGAAATACCTACAAACACTTAGCAGCGTGGTCGTGTTCTCCCACCGTGGTCATGTCTTCCAGCCGTGGTCTCGTGGTAATAAACCACACCGACAACACCGTTATCCTCCAAGAAGAATTGTCCCTGCTGTTAGAGATTATCTGCAGGGTTGCGGAACAAAGTTTTTCCAGGTACAGCAGAGAGAGGAACTTGTTTTTTCCCAAACGAAGTGCTTCAAAAATAAAGAAGAAGAAGAAGAAGGGTATTGCTTTGAAAAAAAAAAAAAAAAAAGGAGAACTTGCTTTTGGGGAGGCTTCACGTGGGAAACAAATTAAAGGGGGTGTATTCAATTGGGATTTTGAGGGATTTTAATTTTTTTTAATGAATTTAGGTGTATTCAATCAGGAATTTAAGTAATTATCTGAATTTCAATATGTATTCAATCAGGATTTTAAGATAGTTTATTAAAATCCTTAGAAACCTGAATGTATTCAATTAAGATTTTAAAGAAGTTTATAACATACCAGGTGTATTTAATTAGAATTTGATTTTAAAGAATTTGACAAAGTTGAGGAATTAGAGGGAATTGGAGAGATTTTGTAGTGTATTTTAAGCATCCACAAATCTCACCTCTACCCAAGAGATTATGAGGGAATCAAATCAAAATTTTATATAAAATCTCTACAAATCAATTAGACTCCAATAAAAAAGGAGAACTTGCTTTTGGGGAGGCTTCACGTGGGATAGCAAAGTGTTGGTGTCCATCACAAAGTCAAAGAAGGAACTCCTCCATTATCAAAGATTCCTTGGTTCAAAGAACTAAGGGATTTTCTTTTAGTTATGAGCACTGTGATAGTGCACGTGAAGAACCAGGAGATAATAATAAAGATTATTGTCTATCAGAAAGTCAAATTCGTAGGTCCGTTGAGGTTGGGTCATCTTCAAGTAGGCCCAATTCGAGAAGCCACCTGCAACCTTTTCCAACAACCTTGGCAGTTCCTTTCAATTCAAACTCATGTTTTATTAACCCCGTTTACCCTAATAATTTTACTCATGAGGTTGATTTGTGGAATACTTCGAATAACAGTCACAAAGACCAAAAATGGAAGCAAAGGTTTAATTTTAGGGATCCAAGAGTTAGAGTGCTCAATCATTTGGATCAATATAATACTCGTTATAGTTTTATATATCTTGATTTGGCACAAAGAGAAATTTCAACTACAAGAAATTTAAGGGGACCAAGGCCACTAAGAATTGAAAGAGAATCCACTAGACGAGAAAATGATGTTTTTGTGCACGAAAATAAAGAAAGAATTGATCACGTCTGGCCAAGTAGACAAGCAAGAAATCCACGAGCCTTCTATAAACGTGATTGTCTGAAAAAGTACTCGTCTTTCACTGATTGGACAAAGCCTCTGTGAGTGCGTGCGGTATCTGCTGCTAAAAGTAATTTATTTTGTTTTGTTTTTTAGTATTTAATTTATTAAGAACATTTAGTATTTGTGGCTTGTAATAATTAAAAGTACACTAGTAGTATTTGTATTTGTATTTGTGTTTAAGTTTGTATTAAGTATTGTGTTTGTTTTGTAATTTTCTGAGCTATGACAACTAAATCTTCCAAATCCGAAGTTTTTTTTAAAATAAAGAGGTTGAACAACATTAATTATCAAATATGGAGGAGAATGATCACTTATCTTTTAACCTATGACAAGACTTTGTACATTATCAAGGAAGAGAGACCCCTTGGGCCCTCTCGAGTTTATATAATAAATGGGTGGAAGATAATGAGTTGGCTAAGGCCATAATTCTCAATTACATGGAAGATAAATTAATACCTCTATATGAAGAATATGATTCGTCCAAAGAAATCATGGATGTACTTGAAAAGAAGTATGACCTTAAATCTCAAACGAACATTCAGTTATTGCTTGAGAAATACAATGGGACAAAAATGGAGGAAACTGATTCTATGGTCGATCATATTACTAAAACGGAAGTAATGACAAAAGACTTAGCCAATGTTGGTCATCCAGTTTCTGATAAAATGCAAGGTAGTGTTCTTCTTGGTAGCCTCCCAAATTCTTGGGAAAATCTAGTTACTTCCATGACTTATGGTCAAGTTGAATTAATGATGGATACATTGCCTGCAATGTTGGCTATTGAAGAAGTTCTAAAAAATTGTAGGAAAAAGGAAACTGGACTAGGTAGAGCCAACCTCTTTATAGCGGAAGATTCTCAGAAAAACAAGCAACACATGTGTTTGTACCATACTTGACCAATCCCGAAATTACTGAGCACCGATCAACAGTATACCGTCAAGGACCTACAAGACTTTTCCTCCAACCAGGAGGCCAATCACAACATGACACGTGTCGGTATCAGAGGTCAATCACAGTGTAACACATGTCGATATCAGAGGCCAATCACAACACGACACGTGTCAATGTCAGAACAAAGCTAGAAACTCTTTTCTATAAAAGGGGATCATTTTCCCATAATAATCCCTAATGTCATTTGTACTAAACTATTCACTAGAACTCATTAAAAGAGAGTTTGAACTTATATATTTGTGTAAACCCTTCACAACTAATGAGAACTCCTCTACTCCATGGACGTAGCCAATCTGGGTGAACCATGTACATCTTGTGTTGTTTGCTTCCCTGTCTCTATTCATTTACATACTTATCTATACTAATGACCAGAACAATCTAGCCAAGGTCACAAACTTGACACTTTCTGTTGTACCAAAGTCCTCGCCCATTTTGTGTGTTGGTCACCATAAATTGATTTTGCTTCACACTATCTTGATCAAGAGTGTGTGAAGCTTTTGAGAATTGTAGTTACACTCCATTGATGAAGCTTTGTTTAATGTTGAAACCTTGTTGTTGAAGCTTTGTAGGTGAAGCTTTTGTTGGGCACCATAAATTGATTTTGCTTTACACTATCTTGATCAAGAGTGTGTGAAGCTTTTGAGAATTGTAGTTGTTCTCCATTGATGAAGCTTTGTTTGATGTTGAAGCTTTGTTGTTGATGAAACAAACTGCTGGGTTTAGGGTGTAAGGTTTAGGGTTCCACATTATATTAAAAATTAAAATACTCCCATTTGTAAGTCGAAAGGGTAGGTTAGTTGGAATTCGGATTGTCAACGGATTCTTTTTGTGAGGAGCCCAGATTCGTGAATCATATATGTTAATCGTATATTGTGCAATTAGAAATTATTTTATATATTTTTATTTAAAATTAAATACAAATAGTACCTAACAAAAACTAAAGAGTTGGAGAAGGTCTCTATTCGGTTGACATTGATCTCTTTTTTGCAAGAAAACACTGAAGTCTTTGCCTGGTCATACGAAGATATGCTAGGCATCTGTCCCAATATCATCTGTCATCGCTTGAGTATTGATCCTAAGACCAAGCCGGTGAGATAGAAGCGAAGATCTTATGATGCTGAACGATACGAGGCAATGAAGGTAGAAGTTGAAAAACTCAAAAGCATAGGCTTCATCCGTGAAGTCAATTATCCAACGTGGGTAGCAAATGTAGTCCCTGTTAAGAAAAATCCGACCAAGGAAAGTCTATTGCTTTAAAAGATCTTGTGGAGAATGTGTGTCGACTACACCGACTTAAATAAAAGATGCCCGAAAAGATGAAGAAAAAATAAGGTACAGTAAGTCTCAGAAGTACGAAAATAAGGGAAAAATTCCTACAAGCAGTAACTCTCTGAACGTACTTCTTGAACGCAATTGGTGCCCCTATAATAGAAAGGGTAACAAGGCCGTTTGTTCAAAAATCGAAAAGGCACCACTCTTCGAATTTCGAGAAGTAGATTTCCCTGAGTAAGATTTATTAGCAATCCTCACATGCGACATCAGTTCCTTGGATACTAAGGATAACTTTGCCAAAGAACTCTGACAAAGTTAAGACGCGTAAATTTTGAAAGTCTAGCTACCCTACTATTACCCACAAGGGTAAAGGAACAACACCACTGGTTGATTATTGGAAAATCCTTATGTGTGTCAACCTCTGTGCTCCGTGGCAAATCAAACTTGCAAAAATGCCTAACCTTTCTTCACATCCGAGAAAACACTCCCAATAAGATTGCTTGCTCAAAAATCGAAGAGACACCGCTTTCCGAATCTCGAAGAACCAGATCCCCAACAAGATTGCATGCTCAGAAATCGAAGAGGCACCTCTCCCCGAACTTCGAGAGCCAGATTTCCTTGGATAAAAT